CAAAAAGGGTGCCCCAAACCAAACACATACCCATTTGCCGTTTACTGACTGGCACATATTCAAGGTTGACTACAAGGCTTAGTGCTTTAATGTTGTAATGTTGGCTGATGGAGTTCAAGGACTTGTCACACATGCCAAACGCTACTCCCAATCACCCGTGCCGCATGACACGTTGTCAACTGAAGGCAAATGGCATCGATGATCGGTCGTGTTGCTCCCACAGCACGAATATGGGGGGCCAGCTGAAGAACTTCGTGGCCATCGCTTGCAAGGGATTTGAGCCAGAATCTGAGCCCCGTGATAAAGCTATTCAGTATACGGAGAACTCGGCCTTCAACACGGAGATGTCCTGGGATAACCTGTTTCAAGACCAACTGGATGAGACGGGGCAGGCGTTGGTGCCAGAAAAAAACACCACCAGCTAGTCCAACTGAAACACATGTTATAACATGTCCCTTTTAAGATATGTGGCCGTAATTCGATATCTCTTATGCTGTCTACAAACTCCTGCTGTGTGATGTTCAATGTTTGCTGTTGCCGGGATGCCACTAAACCACTATAATCACTATAACTGTAGTATGTAGCTGTAGCTGAAACTGGTGCCTATTGTGGTTGACCACACGCTTGAACTAGGTGGAAGGAGCTGTGGTGCCCGCAGTAGCTGTTGCAACTGCAGATGAATTTCGCCAATTCATTGCGGCGCATTGTGATCCTGATGCTGAGCAATCCAAGTCGGACATCCGGAAAATGTCCGAGCCAGTGATGTATGCCCATCGACATGGTCAACACACTACATCCATTGGCTATGGTGGGATTGGTCAGATCTTCTACCAGACTGATGGCACAAGATTGGTTGCTGCCTGTGATACTGCACAGCTCATGGAGGCTTTTGCGGGCGGCTTTCAAGAGGCTGCTCAGGGTCTGGAGAACCTTAACCCATCATCGGAAGAGCTGTCTTCCTTGCCAAGCTTCAGCGTCGGATGTGTCCTACCGGGGGATGCCCTGGTCATTCCTGCTGGATTCATGGTCTGCGAGAAGCCGGTCAACAATCATACCTTCGGTGTGAGGTGCCCGGTGCATCTTCTGGATCGTCGTGCCCTACCATCACTGCAGCGCATCAATGACCACTTCAAGGGGACAGGGTTGGGTGATTGGCATGGTGAAGCGTTACAAACACAACTTGAACGCCAACAACTTAATGCTAGCTCCCGGCGTCCAATCGGGCACTGTGAAATGTACGAGGATTGGTCACATGGTTTTCCTCCCTTTTTTTCGCCCCTGTGAAGGAATAACATCACCCGGTTCATGCTTAGCTTCGCCGCTGGCATGGAGGCACACTGGGCTACACGAATCGTGCCAATGTTGCCAGATGCCACTCCGGAAGCAGCCACTGGGCATGACGACCAGCAACCACCAGCAGCCGAGACGCCAGCGATTGGCACCGCCCATGCAGATGCACCATCCGTAGAGCAGCCATTGCCACCAGTCATGCCATCAGCAGCCACTACAGAAGCGGTTGGCCAAGCAGACGCAGCTGCACCATCCGCAGCGCATCCTTTACCGGCAGTCATCCCAGCAGAAACACAAGCAGCAGAGACACAAGCAGCCGAGACACCAGCAGCCGAGACACAAGCGACCGAGACACAAGCAGCCGACACACAAGCAGCCATTGCACCAGCGATTGGCAAAGACAACACAGCTGCGCCATCCGTCGGGCAGCCATTGCCGCCAGTCATCCCAGCAGATACACAAGCAGTAAACACACAAGAAGCTAGCCCAACACGTGCAACAAGCACACATCTCAACGACACGGCACCTGCAGCCAGTGCACTGGTGGACACACAGGTGGCGCCTACTCAGGTGATCCATGACGACAAGCAGCTGGACCTCGATGCCCAACAAGCGGGATCAGCCACCCAGCCGCCATCGCCATCGCATAACCTCGTGTCTCCTGACCAGTCCGCAGAGGTCGCCACCATGCTGGCGGAGTTTGATGAGATCACCACACGGCAAGATCAACCCGGTCAACCCAGCAAGCCAGGTGCATACCCCGACGCCGACTCAACGGTGATCATGAATCCCGCTGACAAAGCGATTGACGCGAACATCAGCGAGACCATCAAGGAGACAAAGGACACCCCAGCCAAGCACAAGACCAAGCACAAGCCGGACAAGACGGACAAGAGCAACGCCAAGGCAGATAAGAAATCCAAGAGCGATAAGAAGCACAAAAAGGACAAGAAAGACAAGAAGGACAAGAAAGAGAAGAAGAACAACAAGGACAAGCGCCAGGACAAGAAGCTCAACGCCCCATCCGATCAGGCCGTTCCAACGAAGGCCAGGTCGGAAGATGAGATGGACATGGTCACCTCGCTCTCCGGCGATAGTGGAGATAGCAACAACAACCTGGACACCATGGCGGACCAGAGCCACCAGACGGCATTGATCGACGCCAAGCTTCTGATCGCTGCCCCCGATGACCACGTCGATGCGGCTCCGGAGGACTGTGACCTTGAGGGTGGTGGATGCAGTGCTAAGGCCACGTCGTCAAAGTCAGCGGGACGGGGCGGTCGCTCCGCCAAAGCCAAAGCCAAGGAACGTGTACAGCCGAAGGTCCCCAAAGCCAAGGCCAAAGGCCGGGAGGGCGGTTAATCAGCAGACAATGCAATCTTTTTCTGCTCTGCTGCAAGCAAATGCAGTGAGCAAATCGCTCTGAAGGAGCCACTCGCGCACGGCCAACAAGTGCCAAGGTGTGGATTAAGTCCGCAGGCTCGTTGCGGGAGATGCGGCCTCGGCAAAAGGTACCGGCCAGTGTGGTCCAGTGAGGTGTTTCCAGTTTTGTGGCGGTTGAGCATGCACGGTGTGCCGTAAACAACTAACTATACCAATGTTTAGTGGGCATGCGGTTCTCCCATTTGCGGGATCCTTATTCCCGTGGCAGCGGCTTAAATACAGGGGTGCACCCTGAATTCTGAAAGCTAACAGATTGATTGATTGATTGATTGATTGATTGATTGATTTTATTTGATTGATTGATTGATTGATTGATTGATTGATTGATTGATTGATTGATTGATTGATTGATTGATTGATTGATTGATTGATTGATTGATTGATTGATTTGATTGATTGATTGATCGATCGATCGATCGATCGATCGATCGATCGATCGATTGATTGATTGATTGGTTGATTGGTTGGTTGGTTGGTTGAGTGATTGGTTGGTTGCTTTGATGGATGGATGGATGGATGGATGGATGGATGGATGGATGGATGGATGGATGGATGGATGGATGGATGGATGGATGGATGGATGGATTGGATGGATTGGATGGATTGGATGATTTGGTTGAGAACATGGAAGCCAAAACGGGGGCTCTTAAACATATTGATCTCTTGGCCGGTGCCGAGCGCGAAGGATCAACAGGGGACTTGAGTTGACCCTGCCATTCGCGCTGGTTCATCAAAGGAGGTCACTGGTCACTGCTTGGACCTAGCTTGCAACACAGAAGGTCTGGAATGTTTGACTTACGCCCAGGCAGGTTAAGATGAACTCCCAAGAAGCTGTCGTGTTGGCTCCACGTTTTGTTTTTGTTTTTTTTGCGACATACTCTCAAGTTGCAAGACCAACCGCAAAAACAGAGTAAGTTACATTGTTTGGTTTCCGTACTTGCAACATTTACTAGGGAAACAATCTCAATGCTTCTTCTGAGTGGAGTGAGCTCTCGGGAATCCAACTGGCATTCAATCGTGGCAAATGTGGTCAGGCAGCCCCTAATTATCCATAATTTGTGGTTTGTATTGGCAGCTTGGGCATTTGAATGTTGAAAGGAGTGGGGCACCCCTGGGGAGGGCGGGGCACACCAAAAAATTGAATCAGTTTTGGACTAAGCTCCCACCCTTCTGTTCATCTGGCATCCTCCGCTTGCGGCAATAGATTAGAAGTGAGTCAATTTCGCCGTGGCTTGTTTTTTGTTTCTTGAGGACCCTGTCAATTGCCCAGCTTGAAGTTCATACTGATCATAGGATTCAGATCATCCCCTCCCTGTGTTTTCTGCAGGAGTGCGCGGTGGTGCATCAAGTTGCATCCGAGCTGGGGCTGCGAAGCATGGAGTCTGCAGGCCCGTCAGCCATGAACACCTGCTTCTGGGAGCAACTCTTGCGTTGCTTGTTGAATAGGGCTTGGCCTAGGGTTAACATTGCCTTGAGACCATGAATGCGCCTGTTTGTGTAACATGGCCATGAGCAGGACCAAAACAGCACGGTAGAAAATTGGTACTGGGTCTGGCCAAATGAGAAATAGTTTTAAAAAATCGGGGTAAGGCGCGCACCCATGATGAAGGTACTGGGGGGGGGAGTGTGCATTTTGCCCAGGTGGCGGTCTTCTCTGTTCTTTGTCCAGGGACCAATGTCGGTCCCCCCTATTAGCCTATAACCTTGAACAGCTGACCCACCGAAACGCGTATCACTTCAACAAACGTGTCAGCCTGGAACAGGCCAGTGAGGGATGCACAGGCAACCAAATCTCAAATCCTCGACTCTAGAGGTAACCATGGCCCAAGCGCACTCACCCTTTTTAGACCTCATAGCTCGCGCGACAGCCGCTGATTGCTCCGGAGCACGCGGGACCCAGCTTGGGCACTTGCATGTGCCCTTACATGTGCCGCCCCTTAGACGTGAAAACCAAGCTACGGATGATTCGCAACGTTGCAGGAAGACCAAACAATTGGCACCAATCACTTCACAATCTGCTTCCAAGCCAACGTTCAAAGAAGGAAAAGCGTTGCAGCGCATCGCCGGTGGTGAAAAAGAACGGCTCACCAGAGAGAAAAGAGAAGGAAACCAAGCGCCCCCAAGACCTAAGAAAGCGCCACTTCCCCACGCTGCATGGGGGGGACTTTTTTCCCTGTTCGGGTTGACGGAAAGCAACCTCTTTTTGGTTTCCCTTCAAACCCAGCAAATGGCGGCTTTTCCAAAAAATCGATGCGCCCATGCGAAACATGGGTGTGTCTTGTTTTGCGGATGCCATTTTGCGGTTGATGTAAAGGAACGCCAACTTCAACAGTAAACACCCGTTTGAAGGGTTCCCCCATTCAAAGGCAATCCCACATGGCCCATCCTTTTGGACGTTCTCTGTTTGAATGCTCACGCTGTTGGTAATTCTGCGTGAACAGACCCTTTTACACATATATCATACGTAGCTGGGAATGAAACATACCCGAACCGAATTCAGCCCTCGTTCAACTAACTGCTGTTCTTTGTGTCTGTTTTTTATTCCTTGTTGGTTTGTTCCGCAAAGTTCACGGTGTGGCCGCCAGGCCTGCAAATCACTTTTTAGAATTTGGACAATCCCCAGCGTTGGTTTCTTCATGAATTGTTCAGCTTGGTTCATGGCTGCTCTCATGGCACGTCTTCATGGTTGGTTTGTATTGTCTCTCTGTTGAGTTTTCATCGGTTTGACTTGCACCGTTGCTGGTCTGTTTGTGTGGCTGCCCATTGCCCGCGGCCCGGGGCCAGGCGATTCGGAGGGTACGCGGAACATTGTGATCTTCAGCAGTGCCTCAGCCGCCGTTTTTTTTTGGGGGGGAAATTAGAAACTCGCTGCCTGAGCTCCTGGACTTGAAGGTTTTTGGGAAGACCATTTCAGTGGGAAACAAGAAGTGTTCCAGCACCGCCCGAGTGCTGCCAAATTGGCGTCGCTTAGGGGTAAAACACAAACAACGTCACTTTTTGGCTAAGTGATACTTTGCTGAATTTTCGCAAACCCCCTAAAATCGGACGGATATACGAGGGCAGGGGCGGGGCAAAAAGGCAGTGTGACCAAAGTCAGCACGCTGTGCGCCAACCCCAGCACAAAACCTGCTCATGACCCTTACAGCAAACGGCCATGCAAATCTCCATCGCTCGTCACGAGCATGTCACTTGCAGGTCGTTTGCTCGGCCTGCGCGTCGCTTGCGCATCGCCTCGAGTCGCTTGCGTTTTGCTCCGTGTCACTGGGGTGTCGCTTGCGTGTCGCCTGCGCGTCGCCACGTGTCGCTTGCGTGTCGCTTGCGTGTCGCCCGGTGTCGCTTGCGTGTCGCCCCGTGCCGCTTGCGTGTCGCTTGTGTGTCGCTTGCGTGTTGCCCTGTGCCACGCAGAGTGAAAGTGCTGCTTTCGGGCCCCAAGGCATGACATTTTAGCCCCCAAAGCATCACTTGGGCTGCGAAAGCGTGTCGCTTGCGTGTCGCTCGCGTGTCGCTTGCGTGTCGCTTGCGTGTCGCTTGCGTGTCCCCTGCGAGTCACGTGCGTTTCGGCCAGCGTCGCTCGCGCGCCGCCCTGCGTCGCGCGTGTTGCTTGCGTGTCGCCCTGTGTTGCCTGCGTTTTGCCCCGTGTCGCCCCGCGTGATTCCATGCTGCTTTTCGCTAAAGATTTTCAGAAGCCTTTGCTAGTAATTTTGTCCAGATCTAGGTTTAGAGTGGGGGTGGCAAATATGCAGACAGTTCTTATAGCCGCTGAGCTTGGAAAACGCTTAGCAGACTCAGCTGCCATGAATGGGCTGAGAATGGTCTCCAAACTGGTGGGTTATAGACTTGAAGTGCTGCCGATTGCATTTTTGCACAAGTGCCTTCAAATTGGCGGCACTTTCACGAAATTGAGAACAACGGTCGTTGGGTGGGCCTGGTTCATCTTTTTCAGACCAATCCACTCAAGAAGTGAGTTGTTCATCACCCTCGTTCCCTGTAGCATATTCGTGGGCTTCTGCTTCCCCACTAAATTTTGTCAATTCTCAAAATGCTTCGTTGAGCACAGCTGCTGAAAAAGAACCCGGACCTCCAATAGTCCTTGTTCCCTTTTGTTGGAGAGGGTTTCCTTGTGATGTTGGCCCCGGATCTAAGCAGAACCCGTCGTTTTAGGGCGTGGTAGGGGGGAGCGGGTGCAAAAGGATGTTCGCAACGTCACCCAAAAGAAAGCCCCTAGGAAAGGCCCATTTTGGCTTTGTGAAAGGGTGTGTCCGGGGTACCCTCCCAAAAAAGACAGACCCATGGAAAGTAGTGGGGAAGGCTCAGAAACCAGGAGTGAGAGAAAAAGGTTCAAAATCACACATTGTTAATACATCATGGTCTGTACGCCCATTGGTGAGCCAAGAAAGGGGGGGGCATTTTCCACCACAGGATGTATTGCCGGTCACGGGCTTTTCAATTTTTCCGAAGCGTCGCTTTGGAGAAGCTGCGTGAAATCTGAGACCTCGGAAGGACTTGCTTCCCTCACCCCGCTTCCCAAGTCAAGCCCCCTTGGTATGTTACAGCTAGTGAAGTCACAGCAGGATTCAGCCTACGGCCTTTTGCTAATTGTCTCACTCCGCCAGTGGATGGTCACGTTGGGACCATGTTAGAATCAAGCAAGTTTGGACTTGGGCCCAGCCACTCCGTTAGTTAGTTATGGGAAATCAAAGAGTTTTGGGAAGCCGTTTGGGACGTGAGGAAAGCCACATGGGATGGTTTGCTCGGGTTCCCTCATTCATTGAAACTTGGTTGGTGAATAGGAGCAATTGCGAAGATATCTTCTTGCAAGGGTGCGCATGGCGCGAACAAGCAGGAGTGGCCTTTGGTGAGTTGGGGCGTGTTACTCCCTTTGGAAGAACAAGAACGACCCCGGGAGTATCAATAACAAGCCAATATGCCAGCGGTGAACCTCTCATCCGCTAAGATGGAACCTAGCAAATGTTAACGGATTAAAACAACTCTCCCCCCCTCTTCCGCCCCAGAAGGTCAAGCCTCAGATCAAACGGGCTTCGGGGGGCGGGGGGGGGGGAGAAGGTACTGTAGTTGTTGGGGTTCCATTTTGTGGATGGGAGGGTGTCAATCCAACGTTTCGTCACGGTATCCGCGCACCAAGAATCCCAGCGCCTGCCCAGAATGTGATATGCGCGCGTCCGCGTTGAAGAGCCAGGGGTCACAAGGGGTCGCCGCAATGGTTCCCCCTCATGGCCCCTCACGGACGTATACAGTTCCAAGTAGCACCACACCCGCAAACCGTACATGCACATGCCCTGAGTACGACATGCTCGCCCAAACCGCCTCGAGTCCCCGCGCGTACCACCTGCGAGTTGCAAGAGTTGAGGCACAGAGTATGTCGCAGAGCAGGCGGGCGGAGCAGAGAGACACCGGCCCAGTTTGTCAGCGGAGTCCACCTCTAAATCCTTGTTGGTTGGTTGGGTTCCCACTGAAATGGAATCAACCCCCAAAAGGGTTCCAGTTCTTGTTTGATTCTACAAAGGCCAGTGAACAAATGGAGTGGTGGCTGTCCTTTTTTTGTTGATTGAAGTCCCTGGTTGCTGAGATTTGCCCGGTCCATCACGCAGTACGTGACGCCTTGGTATGGTGCAGGAACAGCCGAAACTGCCACAGAGCTAGCTTTGTCTGGCTCTTGAATCTCGCTTGGTTTTTGTGTTTCTCAAGCGTAGCTCCGAGTACGCCAAGAGGGCAGATGGGAGTTGTTTCATTTTTTTGCAGACACCCGTCCGTATTAGCTCCCATGGTGCCTGAGGCTGTCAGAATGGGCCATGTTGCTGACGGGGGCGCCTTGGCATCAGTATGGTGTCCAGGAGGAGGACAATTTTGGTGGTTGTCTCGAGGATTGGTTCAAAGAGAATTCCATGGGAATCGATCGCCCAGAGAAGCGCAACTGGCCAGACTTAGCTTGCCTTTTTCCTTTTTCCTTTTTCCTTAGCTTCATGCTCGGGGGCCTAAATCTGGCTAAGGCTTGTTATTTTTTTTGCTGCTCTCCTCGGCAACGCATAAACAAGGGGCCTCCCCCTTTTGCGGCTTCCACGTTGACTTGCGTCTTCAAACGCATCAAAATGGTTGGTTTCATTTGAGCTTGCCTTTCAAATACCAACACAGGCATCGGTTTTGGCCCCATTTCCATGTTAAGGTCCACTGAATATGGGGTAGAGCCTCAAACATGTCAGATTTAGCTGGTGGCCAATGCTGAAGAAGGCTTACTTTGCGAGTACTAGAATCAGAAAGGGGGCATCCTACAACAAAGGCCCTAAATTCTCAGAATGGGATAGTGGGAATTGCCCATTGACCAAGCAGGGGTACAATTTCAGCATGTAGCCCTTTGCACGGGGTGCCCTCAAAATAGGTGCCGTGTTCAACTTTGGTTTCCCTTTGAACCAGCCCGTTCAGAAGGGTACCCTCAAACAGGGTTTCCGTCATTTCCTTTTTTGGAACCTCCAAAAGTAGCGATATGTTCAACGGAAACCACGTGTAAATTGATCAGCTTCTGAAGGGGGAATCCAGTGACCCCCCCCATGGGTGCCATGTTCCGTTGAAGTTTCCTTCTGACAACCCCAAGGGTACCCTGCGCCTCCAAAAAGATGAGCCACCCACAGCTCCCACTGCTCGGCCCCCTCCGCCCACCTCGCATCCTCAGGACAGGCGGAGTTCTTTGTTCCGCAGACCTCGGCACAGCGGCAGGCGGTGGAAATTCCCCGGCGGTTTCCTGAAAATGGGGGCCGGCTTGTTTTGGAGGGTTACCCAGTTTTGGGGTGGTTTCAACTATTGGCGGGTTCCCTATTTTGAGACAAGCCCGCTTCTGGATTGCCAACCCTGCTTTTGTTCAGTGGATTTGAGACCTCACTGGAAATGGAGTCCCTGCAAGAAGTGTTTCAAATAATGTCCGCGGTCGGATCACCGGATGCAACTGGGGAGCTGTGTGGAACCAAACGGTGTTTTCAAAGAAAACTCCTTTTGTGGGAATGTCCCACAACCATGTTGCTTCCATGTTGGTGTGCATGCAGATGAATAGTTTGACAAGTGCTGTTCATATCTGTATGGATGTACATATGCATATATAATATTCACTATCACTACCTATGGGCATGCATAGGCATCTTGATTGTATCTATGGACAGTAAAAGAGACATTCTTCTTTGAGCAACCATTTCATCCATAGATATCATTATCCCTTCCACTTTCCCAACAATCAAATCCAGAGAATGATTTCAAGATTGAGCGGTCGGTTTAATGAAAATCTACGGATACATGTACATACAGCAAGGAACTCGAGTCCTTGGCCAGGCTTTTTGGGACCTGGCGGACAAGAATGGCATGTGCCTGGATACCAGCTACCACGGAACAAAAGGCAACTTGACAGCTGTTAGTCCTAGTGGTTGGAAGACGGAGCGACCAGGATTTCTGTCAGGAAATGGTAGGATCTCAAATGTAAGCGAATCGACGAATTGATCTCACCTTCTGTCCTATTCAGGTTCCCCGTTGTTGGTGCATTGTGTGTGGCCCCAAAAGGTCAACCTCTTATTTGCAGGTCCTTCGGGCAAGTTTGCAGGATCGTTTCTTTCTTATTTATCTTCCACAGTTTGCAGATGTTCTTTCGAGCCCACGATGAGGATGTCACTGACGGCCTGGATTTCTAGCATTTTGGGTTTCGATCAGTTTAGTGGCAAACAAAGAGCTAAGACTCGTTTGGTCAATCCATTCAGGAAGTGAGAAGATGTTTTCCACTACCCCAGACCACTACCCCCAGGATTCCCTTGGGGTTCCTTTTCAGAATGGCTGTCCTTTATTGCAAAACTGAAGCTGAATTGGGGGGAGGGGGGCCTCAAAGTTTCCAGGCGCAATCATTTCCCGAACCTCTTTTCTGGGATCTCCTCACAAGCTATGTCATTTTCAAGGGCGGACTAATATGATATAAAATCCGCAAATCGGACTTTCCGTGTACCCCAGAAGTGGGCCAAGCTTTGCATGGAGTTGGGTTCTTTGAGCGCCAGCCAGTCATGTGTTCCCCCTTGTTGAGTGGTTTAAGCCTACCCTGCTTGACCAAGTCCGATTGAGACGCTCCTAGGGCATGATTGAGCGACCACGCGCCCTTTCAAGGGTTCAGAGCCTTGAGGTTGCCCCCAATTTGCTCCATGTTGTTCGTCCGCACATGTGGCCAATTAAGTGTGCATTGTTTATATAAGCAAAAGCTAGAGTAACCAAAGCCCACCCTCCTCGCTCTGCCTTGGTTTGCATCAAAACTCAAACTGTGAATCCAAAACCGGAATAGTTGAACGCCTTCTCAGGAGGGGTGAATGGGGACCCAACATTACTCAACTGCTTGATCATTGGGGCATGCCCGGTTCGAGAGGGAACCCTTCACCTTTGGAGAGGCGAGCAGTTCCAGATGGGCCTCTGGTGTGCAAAGTACTTCCATTTGCTGAAATGAATATGTCGTTATTTCCCTGTTGGTTAGGAGTCTATCACTACTGGACTGATCCACAAAGTTGATGAATCTGGGCTCAACATGCTTTTCTTTATGAACGTGAAAACACCGCACACGGAAGGACATGTCATGTGTCTTAAAATGGGGGGGGTGTTCCCAAAACGACAAAACAGTTCTCCTGTTGGGTTCCCACGAACACAACCTCTAAAAGGATAATCTCAAACAAGCATAAACCATTGTTTAAAACATGAATAAATAAATAACTAAATAAGCAATCAAAACAGTTATATATATACATGCATATAATTTGTTGTTTCTTTCTAATAATACCTCCCGGCAAAACAATTTCTATTATTAGGGGTCTGCTGGATTTGGAGAGCAGGTTTTGGAGGCACCCCTTATTCTTTGTAAGCTTGCCTGCAACTTTGTACTACGCTCGTAGTAAAGGAAACGTACTCCGGGATCCCCCTAATAGGGCTGGATTTGAGCACGGGTACACAAATCCTTACTTTAGAGTTGGTTTAGCATTGGCTATTCTAAAAGTAGTATTCCCGGATTTGGGACTTCCGAAACATTTGTTTATTGTTAGGGGAACCTTTGTTCATAAGGGGAACGGATTCGTAGTTAAAGACAACAACACATACTCAAAGTACATGCACACCCAATGTCAACGTCAGGCCAAGAGGACTTCCGCTCCGGAGACGTGGTGCGGTTGACCAAGTGCCTCGGGGATAGCTCCTCCGCTACCGACGAGGAAAATCCGGGGGATCTACAAGGCGTGGGGATGCGATGTGGTGCATTTGTGGCTCCATTTGATGTTAACCTTGTCTGGGTCCTTTGGGTATCTGAGAAATGGAAACCAGCAAGAAAACCACAATCTTTGGAGCCCCTTATTTTATGTACCCTAAAGAGTATGACATGAGGCACACTCACCAAATTGCCATGAGAAAACGGGGGCTCACCGACTTCCCATGTTGCAGGGGCACAGTCAATATTAATTGTATTTATTGGTGTTGGGTGGGTTTAAAGGAAAACCAAACCATCTTGGTGGCCCCCTATCTTGACACATAAGCATATGGCAATTGAACGCCCATTCCCTACAAACCAGTACAGTAGTTGGGAATCATTTCCAAATCCAAAGGTTTCAAAACCCATAGGCTCTAGAGCAACCTACTTCATAAATGAAGCCGCCCATATTCCCTTGGCTTCCCACTCCAACTTGGGGCCTTGGGGACGGAGTCCACTAGCCCAAGAGAAATATCGGCGTACAAGGGCCCTTGCAAGGCTCACTGCCTGAATTCATGGACTTCAATGTTGTTGGGCTCGGAGCATGTAATGGAGTGGTGAACAGAAAGTGTGCACTTGTTCTGTCCAACTCACTCAAGAAGAGAATCTGAGTTTCCTTTGGTAGGGTTAAGTTTTAGGGGGAACACAGGGAAACAGGCGATGCCCTGATCAGGGTAGAGCTGCATGTGTTACTTATATCTATTTTTCCGGGCAAGACTCGATTCCAAGAAATTTGGGTACCCCCTACTCCCTGCGTCCCCGAAAGGTCGAAATTTGGTCGTTTTTCGGGAACGTATTTTCTGCCCTCAACAGGGATTTTGGCGCAACCCAGAAATGTAGATTTGCCCTCTAGTTGCATTTGTTTTTGGGAAATGGAACTCTGCCCCGAGCATGAGTGTTTCTTGATTTGATGTTAAGCTTTTGTGTGTGTGCTTTTATCAGAGAGCCCTTGACGGGGGGCGCCGTAACGGGTTTGGATTTCAGGGGCCGCAAAGTTTAAAAGGGAAACCAAAATTGTAAACTCAATCTGTTTGAGGGGGTTAAGACACACCCAGATGCCTTTCGCGGGTAGGGACTCCAATGTGATGATCCCGTGGAATTTTCAACCAGGGGGTGGGATGAGCACATCCAAGGCTCTCAATCCACCCACCAGACCCACTTGCAGGGTTGCCTACTTTAGACTTCTCGCATATTGTATATGTGTAATATATTTGTTTATGCATGTACATATGCATATCCATGTAGAATATTCTTGTAAGCCCTTGCCCCGCTTGTTCTAATGTGAACTGGCAGATGTTTGTTTGGTCTGAGCCTCTGTGGGGTTGAAACAAAATAAAAAGGAGCCAACAGCTAAGAATTTGCACATCGTTGTCCGTGAAACGCTAGGTTTAAGCAGCACCTGATGGTGACAGGTGGTGATGTTTAAAGAAGACCCACCAGGACCCTCCAATAGGAACAGCCTTATGTTTCTTGCATTGGTTCTAGCCACCTGAAAGTGTTGCCAAGGAATATGCAAACATCTGCGGGAAGCATACGGAATCAACAACCGCAGGCCGACCCAAAACCACGTTCAAGAATGGAATCAATCCACATATGTGCAGATTTGTTCCTTAGAAGGAATCGGGGCCCTGCCGCGTGTTTGATAGCATTGGCGTTGAGGTGGGGTAGACTTCCTCGCGGAAAGAAGAGGCCCGGCAATGCATCCGAAAGATCCCAGCTGGAGATGGCTTGGTGGTGCCGGCTGTTTCCTGCAGACTGAGGAATCGACTGGGAAGCCTTATTTTCCAGACATATGGCTATGAATTCTATAGTGGGTCACCTCCAGAGTGGTTAGTGGACATACATCCCCAGCTACGTGATGTCCCGCAGAGGGTCCCCTATTCGGAATCCTACCCATAAAACACCCAGTTCAGATCTTGAGCGATTCCGGAGGTCTGGGGCTTGCGCCTATCCACTTGGCATATCTCACAACCCGCGGGGAGTGCTTGGGGTTGCAACGCGCAGTAATCGGGGGGGTTCCCTTGGAGAGCCTCTGGGGGAAACAGGTTTCTTCTGGTCCTTTCCCCTTAGTAATAAATCCCCCCCTTCCCGAATAAATGTATTTGCCTGGGGGCCGAACAAAATCTATTAGCAGGGCACGTTTGTGCGCCGGGGGTCGCTATTGTCTTGCCCCCTTTCCGGGCCCAAACAATCATTCAACATTGCGATTCCCGAGTAAGGAACTCAAGCAGCAGAACTCCAAGTCGTGTTTGGTATGTGTGCTGGTGGAATTAAAAGGTGCAGTATCGCTGTAGGATTTGTCTGGTGTTGTTTCTAAAGTGTCCCCGAATAAGACTGGAGTTGGGGTCGCGCGGAAAATTGCAGGTTTAGAATTGGTCATGTCATTTTAGTATTCGGGTCTGGAAAAGTATTATCTATGAGTAGGATAATTTGAATAATAATAGGTGCATTTATAGACAGGGGGAAGACGAATCTGATTGTTTCTTTCCCCGCCAAAGACTCTGCAAATTGACATGCAACCCACGAAAAGGGCCCGATTCCTCTTTGCATGGCTGTGTTCTGGTTTTACGTTAATTTGTAGGGATACTGTAGGGGAAGATACCAACTCATAAGGGATTACGTGCTTGGGCGATCGGCAGATCTGAAGGCATTGCAGACCCAAAGGACAGATTTTCACGGGGTTGCTCCGCTCGAAGCAATGACCAAACCCAAAAGGCTAGACGGTCGGTTCGGGGTCCTGTTGTTTTCCTTTTCCAGAGTGAACAATTGTACCCCTGTGCCAGGGATTTCGAAACCTCATGAAGGACCATTCCGAAGGTAATTGAGATTAATATTGGCCCTTGAAGTTTCAGCTGATCTCGGGCTTGTTGGTGCCGAAGTTGAGCGAGGCGTAGTTCTTTGTTTGTTCCCGCGGTGGCCGTGTTTTTGTTTGCGTCCGAAAAGCCAATGGCCTGTGGACTAGTGTGAAGGAGAACTAGGCTTTGAACCAAAGGAAAAGACGCACCCCAACCAGTTGTTCCCTTTGAGCTGGGGTTTCCAAGCCTGTATGGAGTACATAACCAATGGCTTTACAAGGGTCTATTTTGGCATAGAATCATTGGCTTTGCAAGGCAAGCAGCTGGTTCCTCCCACTGAACGCTGCACACACACACACAGGCACACACACACACACACGCACATCGCTTTGCTTTGTGGATTCAGGCATGGTCACATGCCCCTCGTCCTTTAGACTCAGGAACGCAATTGGGCGTGCCCAAGCTTCCCTTGTCAAGATTTATTGCCGGATCGGCATGCAAGCCTAGTTGTAAGCAGGTCACGGCCCGAGGAAAGGATAGTGATAGGGAGGGCTTTGCGACTCTCAAGGCCTCACTTCCGTGTTGCAGAGTTGAAGATGCCTGTGGACATCTTTGAGCAGTAGCTGAATGGCCTTTTGGGATGAGCAGGTGAGCAAGGAACGGCTATTTGGGCCACCAACCAAGCAGCACATGAGCAAATGGCCGCATAGTGAATTGAAGTTCAGACATGCCGTAAGTAAGCGTTGTTCCGTGCGCTCTGCCCCAACCTTCGCCCCTGGTTTTTGCTAACTAAGGCAAAGGTGATCCTCACTAAGGCACACAGTGCCTCAAGTCTTGCGCTTGTGTCTCGAAGGCCCTCTCCCAGTACCCGACCCGGAGCCAGCGATTCCTTCATCCTCGCACTTGATCCAGCAGGCCTGAGGGAATGGTCCCACATAGTAGGAGAGCCCAGTGAGTCTACTTCCCCGATGGAAGGTGAGTGTCTTTTTTCGCGGTCTCCTCCAAAACGAATTTATGAATTTTGCGCAGGCGCGAACTAATGTTGTGAAAAATGAAATAATAAATTGTTGTTGTTTGTTTCCGAACTGTTTGTTTTCAGGAAGGTTATGTGTGTGGTAAACAAAACGTCTGGTGCTGCACTTCTGGCCAATCCACGGAAGTGAGTAAAACAAGCTGGGAACCTAGGAGAAGGGGCCCTTGGATTGCTTCATTCGATTGTACTTGGTGCAGACCAGTGGATTCAGGCATTCAGAGCCGTCCGAAAAGGATTGCATTGGGGGGGGGGCTCTTTTTGACAACCGCATCTTTTCAGAGAAATGCGTGGCCCCTCCAAAGCCCTTTGGGGGTGGGAATGCCACGCGACCAAGATCCAGTAGCCGTATGCTTTTGGATTTTCTACAAAAACTACCCCAAAAAACGTCTTGAGTGTTGGAAGGAAAGGCAAGCCTGGAGGATTTTTGGAAAAGTACCGGCACAAGAAGCCAACACATTCCAGTGGTCCAAGGAAAGCATGGGATTCGGCAATGTCAATAGTTGTTTTTTTCTTTTTCGTGGTTGCACTATCGCAGAATGGGTTGAGCTTTAAATTGCAGGGCCAAACTGGATGATACCATAATATCCGTGCGCATTGGTCATAGCCAAAAGTAACATTATTGTGCAACCAAGATCCCGAGCAACACTCTTGCCAGCCCTTTACATAGCGACCAACTGTTGCCCATTAGTGACATGGCCAAAGTGGCAGGGCAAACATGAAAGTACGCTTGAAAAGGCCATTCAGAAAGTACAAAGCCAAAAGTGGGCGGTCTGGTGTATGGGAGTCCTATCAAATACTCCCTGCTTCAGGTTTCTGCCGGTTCTACCATGTACTTTTGGCAAAGGCCCATGTTCCATATGTTATGCCGCTTTGAATAGGCAACGTCTACATATACAGGGTCAGCGTGTGAAAGTGGCCGAGGATTGCCATTGACGCCATTGGCTTGTCACCTTTGAAGCAGAGGTTCATGATACTACACATCAAGCAGCGTATTTCATGGTGAGCTGACCTGGTCTGAATCGAGCAAAGATGCAGGTCCTTTACGGTGGGTGTCCTTTTCTTTGAGGTGTTGGAAGTATTTGCAGATACGAATTCCTTCCACTTGCTTCATGACCACCTCAGGTCGCAGCAAGTGGCCCTGCTTCAGATGCGACACCCGAGTAGGGCTAATCCTGCTGAGGGCTTGATTTTCAAGTGCGATTATCCCTCAATGCACCTGGCCATAGGAAGGTTTGCAGAGATCAGCATAAACAGGTGTCATGTTCACCGCAAAAATAAAAAAATGGTTGGTTTCCTGCCTGCACTAACATCGAAAACCGGGTGCGTCACTTGAATCTGGTTTTGGTGACGAGTTCCGCTTACTGAGGCCTTCGATGCCTATGCCACTGGCAGCCATTCTGGTGAGAGGACCTTCCTGAGATTTGCCAGCTCGCAGCACATGTGGCTGGCTGGTTTCTCCCCCCCCCCCCCCCCGCCTGTTGTTTTCCCACCCGCCTGCTCAACCAGGCGTGCAGCCTTTTTTTTTTTTAATCTTCCTTCCCCCCAGTTTCTGGACTTACTTTTCCCGACAACTGAAAGCTATGGAGTCTCTGCCCAAATCATCTCTGGGATGATTTGGGACGGCTCCAGGCCAGGGTTCCTGAAAGGTTCCGCATTGCTGTTCGGGATGCCACCTGGGTTTTCCTTTGTTGGGGCGAGGGGGGAGAGAAGAGGGCGTCACGAAGCAAGAGGTTGGCCTTGCATCACTCAAATAAAAACCCTCTGGCTGTGATTCTAGGTGGAATGGTGCAAGTACTGTGCATCACTTCCCTAGTGTTAACTTTGGATTAATCCGGAGGACCGTACAAATCAGGGATTCCCATTTGCAAGGATTAATTATTTTGGGGGGTCATATGACTAGTAGGGTCGTTCAAATCTGAAGTTAACAGTAGAAGACACACACCCCTTTGAATCCAGTTCGCGTCTTGAGGGGTTGTTTGGGCAACGATCCGAACCAAGAAGATCGATCGGCAAATCGATTATTTTCGGCGCAACACATGCCAAGATGTTGTGTTCCTCGAATGAACTTACAACGATGGTTGGCTTTCTTTGGGTTTCCTTTATCCTCCACCAGGGTGGCAGCAATGCGGGTTGGGTCCCTGTTGGTTCCCACTTTTTTACCAGGGAACCGCTACCCCCCTTTGAGTGAACTATACGTTGAAGGTTCAGCTAAACACAGGCTTCCCTATATTGTATTGATGCATGTTAATTTAAAATTAGAAGAAAAGGAAGCAACAGTTTCTCTTCTACAGATTAACATGGAGCCCAAGAAACAGCCATTTGTAGAGGAACCTCCTTTTTTGGGGACCACCTCCCCTGCGTTTTGGGTCCATGTTAACTTGCGGGGGAATGTTGAGAATCTCCGGTATCAAGGAAGTGGTCAATTCCGAAAGCCTCGTCCTGGCAAGTTCACATGGGGTAGAACGATCACACAGCAGTTATCATGGGTCTCTCGCTTGTGCGGGGTGACATTTTGTTTGAAAGGAAGCATCACATCGTGGACGGCCCACCTTTCAGGTGAGCTGTTTGCCTCCGGTTGTTTTATGTGAGTTTGCTTTCACATGTTCTGGGTGCAGCCGCTTCAAATGCTGTTGCACAGACGCAATTTTTGAAGACGGCATTTGGAAAAACAAAGGGTGCGCTTGACCCAAATGAGAAGGATCCCTCCAAAGTGGGGCACGCCTAGCCACCATGTCATAATTACTGTACTCGAGACAAGCAGGGAGACTTCTGCAGGAGAGAGTTGGGGGTTTTCGAAACAAACCAAGTCACTACATATAGGAGAACAATGCGTGTACCTATTTAGCACATTCCCAGACCGGATCACCTATGTCTAGCACATTCCTACAATCCCAACATGCTACTAGCATAGGGGCATGCTTGGCCCTGGCGTACGCACAGCAAATGCGAAATATGTGGCGTCTCGTATGATTCAAAGTTGTCACGTTGCTCACATATCTTCACAGCTTGTATGTTTTGTAACAAATGTGAACAGTGCCCGCCTTTCCCCTGCACTCTTTGTTTTCCTTAGCTAAGTCCCCGTACCCAAAAAAGCTTTGGCGATGCAGGGCGCGCTCCAAGCCTCGAGGCAGGTTGTCTTAACATGGTCAGAACCGTTCAACAAAGAATCCATTCGAACATTTCCTGAAGGGTCGGGGTGGGGGGGGGAGTGCTTTGGTGTCCTCCCCACTCCTGACTCAAGTCGGTACATCGCTGTGCAGGCCAGGCATGTGATTTGAGCAAGGTAGGCAGCCGGCTCTTTCTCCAGGCATGTCCGGTCTCCGGTAAGTGGCACGTTGGGCAACAGCCACTTACAGCATAAGAGCGCTATATATGCATGTGTACAGACTATATATATATATATATATGATGTGAACGTGATTCTTTTGCAACCCAGGACGTCTGGCTTCATGGAATTCTGGGGGGGCTAGGGGGGGCTAGGGGGGGCTAGGGGGGGTGGTCTATCGCTGGAGAAGCCCAGGAATGAGCCCTTAATAAGGCCCGAAAAGGGGTTCATAAAGGATAGCAACGTTCATGATGGCTGTTTGGAAGGTGTACTTGATCAAAACCGGTGGCCGGTTTGGTAGTGGGCTTCTTTGGTGAAGGGCGAAGCCTCAGGTTTTCTTTGAATTTGCGAGGATCCGCCTCAACCGCGAACTGGTATGGGTCAAAATAGTTAGGCTGTGAGGGGCAATCAAAATCAGAAACTGGTGTGTGCTTCCCTTTGCTCACCCCTAGGGAGGGACTTTGGCAATGGTTAAATACTTGCATTGGCAAGAAGGAGTGGTATGTTGACCCATAAACTTGGGTTACATGGACAATGCCCCCGCCCGCAGCACTCAGCCTTTGATTATAGGATCCCCCTCAAAGGGATCAAGTCACTTTCATAGGGCGCCGGTCTTCGATTTATGGTTTGGAACCAAGTGGAATTGAGGGACCCCCTCCCACCCACCCTTCCAGGTGCCGATGTTTGCCAACGCAGAAGTTTGTGCCCAGGTGGATTTGAAGGCGTTCGCTACAGACATGGGTGAGCAACTGCCGCAGAGGCCTTTGGCTCATTTCACGATTGCCAGTTCTGTCGGTTTTGGGTGGGTTCGGTGTGGGTTTGGTGGCTTTTGCAAACCTAGAGCCGTTCCGCTTAGAGCTAAAGCGATACAACGAGTCCCTGATGTGGTAGTAAACATTTTGCCATTTTACATGGTCAAGTTCTTAAGAGCTTGATTGCCTTGACTGTGACTGTTGTTTCTCACCTCCGACATTGGTTGCTGTATTTTGTTTTGATCCCCCTCCATCTTTTCACCGTTTCACTTTTACCTTTTCTCTCTTCACCTTGATGTTTCCTGCTGACCATCAAACACATGTTTGTCTCTTCAATGTTCTTTGTTGACCTGGTTGCCCCTTGGCCATATGTATGAGCGTTCTGGTACATGTTAATCATACTCAACAAATTCTCTCTTGACAGGTCCCAAAAGGCAGAGGCACGTGTAGTTTTGCTCATAGAACCTCGCCCCTTGGACCTAGCTCCCGCAAAGTTTGTATAAATCAAGCCTCAGCAAGCCGCGTGCCCGAGCATCACAACTTCCTCGGTTGACCGCAAACAAACCCCTGTTGCAAGCCTAAGCCTGGCCCACCATTTCGATTCAGTGAGCTGACTCATTCTTAAACAAGCACTTAGCGGATGGACGAGCTGCAGCTGATCAGAGGAGAAGAAGCGCAAGCATCATTCTGCAGCAGAAGCAGTGGTTGACCCTTTTTCCACCCCAATGATTCATGTCAGGCTCAATAGCCTCAATAGCCTGGAAGAAAAGCCAAGAACAAAGAACAATGGTTTCCAAAGAGCAAGCTCATCCTCGTGGTCCGTGGTTCCCTCCTGCGGAAAACTATATTCAGGTTGAACTCTCGTCAATGGTCACTGATGGTCTAGGGTGTTTGTGCATGCTGCGTTTACGTAGCCCTGGGGGTGAACTACTCCAAAAGGCGTGCTGCCGTTGGTGGCTCATGTATGTATGCAACTTCCATATATATATATATGGGACAGTATCTGCAGAGTATCTGTGTTGGTTAGGCCCCTATCGGTGTTAGGTTGCGATATCGCCGGCGCTTGGGGATTGGAGGTATGGATGTTAGATACCACAGACATGAGGGGTACATACTGCTTTGCAATAATTTGTATGATGGCGATGTATGTACATATATATATATATATATCATATACATTATCATATAGATATGGATTACATGTGAAGCAAAGCTCAGTGTTTTCTGTTTTTTTGTTGGGGGACCACATAAAGATGTTTATCTATAGATGTCCTTTTGCAGCCTCGCAGGAAGCGATCTGCCTTCGCGGAGTTTAGCGCTGTCCTGGAGAATTGCTTTGCGGCCTGTCGACAGCCCAAAGCGGCATGATGCCAAGGGAACCCCATGGAACCTTCAAGTGACAAGGGTAAGTCAAGCCCTTGATCATGGTGAAATCACGGGGCCAGCATTTCCTCCAAGGTGACAACGCTGCCAGCCGCCGGGATACCAACTTTAAAGTGATGAAACCGTCATGGGGACGGGAATCCCACTTCGGTATTACGGGCAGGATTTATGAGCGCTCAGGATGACACCGCCCAGTTGCAGTCCGACATCGGCATCCGCATGGGCTCAGGACGTGTTGCTCCCTGAACCCGTTGCGAGAATTGGCTTAGTTGGTCGGGTAAGCTTCCTCTTGTTTTCGGCTGCGGGCGGCAGGGAAAGAAACAACCGCCTCGAATGGAAATAACATTTCCACCCTACAAATTAGCATTGAACTCAAAACAGGGTCCCCACAAGGAGTTTCGTCCATGTCAATTTACAGAGGAGTAGTTTGAGCCCTTTTCGCTAAGCCGCCCTACTTGCAGGCATAACCTGCTTTTGCGTCAAGTCCAGGTGCTGTACCGGCAGTTCTTCTCCAAAAATGAAAGCCGCAAACCAAACAACCTGGTGTTTTGATTTGAGAGGCCCGCTGGATTGCGTTGATCTCACAAAGAGTCATGCGTAGGTTAGTCAATTGCATGAGGTTGCCCCACTCAATCACGTCACAAGCAATGTGTTGCATGTTTGCAGAATGCTGAAGTATCTGACTTGTTTAAAGCCACGGTTTGTTGTTACTTTGCCGTGATTGCTTCGGGGCGGATGTGTAACAAGTAAAGTCGACGCCTGGGCATTTGAACTCCTTGCGGTTTGGGTTGGTGGTTGGAGGATTTTGAAGCCCCTTTTGTAGAAGGCAAAAGGGAAATCACACGTATCCAAGCCACCGATCAGAGGGAAACTGAAATAGTATTCCTTATTGTCAATGCGCCTTTGGACGCGGATACCAGGAACACCAGCATCCTTTGGGAGGCCATTTCCGAATCCAATTCGTTGGCCAGTATGGTAAAGGACCTGAAACCCAGGAAGCAGGCCGGTTTTTGAGCAGAACAATGGTTGAACACAATAGAACATGCCTGCCTGGCAGATGATCAATGCAAGCACTGAACGCTGTCTCACTTCCTGAGTTCCTGGACTTCTCAATGTGTGACTTGTGCGCAGACCATTGTAGTGGCAAGCGAATGGTTTGGACGTGTCTTCGGCCAATCCGCTGGATTGAAAGTGAGCTATTCAACGAAGCTCAGAAGCAGCCATATCCAAGAAACCTTACAAGGTTACCAAACGATAATTACACGTGAATTTAAACGTCATCACTTCCACCAGCTGATTTAGAATGGATCCCCTTGTGAAGCATCTGGTTTTCGTCTGCATCCTTCTGCCGGACCTCCCTCTCAAACTGGGGAATCAAGCCCTAGATTTTGTGTCTCCAGACAAAGTGCGTGCAGGACTCACGCAGAAGTTTTTCCAAGTCTTCATCCAGAAGGCCCGCTGCGTGTCAAACAATGTGCCACAGATTTTTAGATCTCCGAGTTGTCCAAAGCCAGCCGTTCTTTGGGTTCAAACATGTACACTGCCTTGGCGAAACTGTAGACCAAAGCAGGAGGTGTGCTTGTGTTCGCGGAGGTAGCAGATGTTGTCCAGTCGTGTCACTTTTTATTGGGAGCATGTTCAGTTTAAGTGGGAGCATTTGTGGCCCAGACCTTTCCCTTTGCTTTGACCTACCCTCTTCGTCCCCACGCAAAGCCGCAAATCGTGAATCTGTTTAGATGGGATTCCCTTGAACGCATTCGTTAGGATCAAGCACCAAAGCGGCTGGCCTTTTTGCCATGGCCACTGAGGGAGTTAATGTGATTTCGATTTTGCTTCACCCGACAGTAAGGCTGAAGGACTTAGGTCTTACACCTGCCGATGCATGTCGTCTTCGATGTGGTCGGCGTTCTCTTCATAAAATGTTGGCATTCAACAAGGGCATCTTCTGTAGGCACACCATAGAGTCACCATAGAGACCTCACGGAGGCTTTGGTTTGCGACCTTGGGCCTCATGTTGTGGGTTGCCAACGGATCTATAGGGAGCACAATGTTCGTTCGGGCCATTGGTCGCACGCAACAAGACCAATACTTTGCCTGCGACTCGAAATGTCCCGCAATCAACTACGTCAACGCCAAGCTATGGTGGATCCCGCCATGTTGCAAGCAGATGAATTGCGAAAGGTCCGTTTTCCTTGCAACACAGGGACTAGATCCGGCAATGGACATCCCCGTCATCCCTGAATCCCTTTTTGCTTGCTTAAGACCATACTCGCGCGAGGGTTCCAAGTCTTTTCTGCCACTGGGCAACTGGGAAATCATGGCATCATGGATCTTTGCTCGTGGTGTAGCCGCCTTAGGGGTCCGCGATAGGCGTCAACTCGCTTGTAAGAACCTGACGTTGCTTTCAAGGGACAATTATATTATTTTTTGCGGTTTACCTTGACATGCCTGTGGTTGATAGCCAATGAATTTCCTTCCTGCAACAAACACATGTTGGCTCAATGAAGAAGGCCTAAAATGTGGCTTCATTTGCTCCAACTGGATGTTGATGTGATGTGCTCCAGAAAATTATGTTCGCCGGAGCTAGTTTGGAGTGGGTCGCAAAGTTTGAATTTCATTTGAATTGCACAGGATTTTGGGTGGAGGTTCACTGGATGTCCATAGGATGTTCATCAGAATGTCACTGGGTGTTCATTGGAATGTCATCGTAAGTTGCTGGGATTTCATCGGATGTTGCTTTTTTTTTCAGTGTTTTTTTTTTTCATTTGGCTTGCATTGGCTGCTGGAACCGGTAGGAAATGGTAGGAATTGGATGGAGAAAAGTCACAAACAAGGTCTAGAAGCTTATTGTATGGTTGCTGCCAATCTTCCAAGAGCTTGATGTTGAAGAGGGATTGCGTGAAGCGTCATTTGCTAGGGGGGGGGGGGTCCTCATTGAGAGACATACCCCATGTGGGTCAAAGTGGACCCCCCAAAACAGGGGTTCTCCTGGTGTCCCTTTAAAGCCTGAAAGCTTCAGGTACCCTCAAAAATAGTTTACACCCATCACCGCCTCTCAGCGAGCACGTCCACTTTTCTTGGCCTTTTGCATGGCGCTGAGGCCATGCACCGCTTGGGGTTGCAAGTTGCCTCTGTGCTCTTCGCGCCATGGCCAGCATGACCTGAAATGAGCATTTGGCTTGCAAACACCCATGCCTGGAGTTTTAGAGTTTAAAGAGGGAACCTGACTGATTATCCTTTCAAAGGTGCCCTCTGGCACTAAGTTTGGTTTTCAAAATCGCTGGGTTTGCTCACCACAGTCGGCCAGGATTAGGTTCCTGGGTTAAAGACCCAAACATCCAAAGGAAGGCATAGGTCCAGGGGCTGACCCCCGATCCGTTTAAGTGCAAACCATGGATCTTTTGAACGATCAGGTTCTTCCCTTGGGGGTTTGGTAGTTTTCTGGAAAGAAGGGTCCCTGCAAAGAACGGAGGGAAGCTGCCTCTAGAATTTACAAATGGCTGTAGCTTGTTTAGAAGCTTCGGTGGGCATTGTTTGCAGCGATGTATGTCTACCAGCCATGTTCGAGATTCCCACGAAAGTGACAGACCAAACCAGCTTCGGCTTAACCCCAAACCACACATGTTGCCATCAAGCAAATACTTACCCGTTGAGTCGGTGGCAGATGCCTTCATCTTAGTCGAGCAGCTTTCGGCCAGTCAACGCAGCAGGTCAGAATACCTTGTTACTTAGATGGTCTGGGAGGTTGGACAATGGCTACTAAACCTGGTTGAACCCCCACTTATGACCATGGAAAGTGGGTCAAACCATGGTTGCTAACCACTGAGCTAAGTCCAAGACCATCTAAGTAGGCAACAGCTGTTTGAGATTCCCACCATGTGTAAATGATGAATGTGGAAATCTAAGCACATGCCCAACAAGGCCATGGTGCATTGTGATCGGAATCTGGGAACTTAGCTGAGGTGTGCCACTTGGGTCGCTTGGGTCACTCACTTGCTTGCGGGAAAATTAATTGAAGTCTACCACTTGGGCCGCTTGGGTCACTTGGGCTTGTGGGAACATACTGAAAACTGCCACTTGGGTCACTTGGGTCACTTAGGTCACTTCGGTCACTTCGGTCGCTTCGGTCGCTTGGATCCCTTGGGTCCGGCAGTCTTCAAGTTCCTAAAATGCATTGTCCAAAAGCCGCAAAATTCATTTCCCAAGCTGCAAGCAAGGCAAACGAGAAGAACGCGTGGGCTCAAGGTTCTACCGGTCGGCCTCCCCTAATCTTCCCAAGTGCCCCGAGTGACCCAAGTGACCCAAGTGACCCCGTCCCAAGCGACCCCATTCAATCGACTGCCATGTCAGAGATACTGTCTTTCTTTGCCACTTGGAAAGCCCAACTGATCCACGTGACCCGACTGACCCAGCTGACCCAAGTGACCCAAGCGACCCAACTGTCCTGGCCCGAGCGACCATTGGACTGCCTAGAGCGCTCAGAGATATAGACTTCCTCTTTCGCAGCAAGCCTAAGTGATTCAAGTGATTCAAGTGACCGAACTGGCCCAAGTGAACCAAGTGACCCAAGTGATCCCAAGCGAACCGAGTGACCCAAGTACTCCAAGTGACACAAGTATGCCAAGTGGGCCAAGTGACCCTGGCCCAAGCGACCCCATTGGACCATTGGACCGGCTGGCGCGACAGCAGCGAAGTCTGTATCCGAAACGAGCTCAGAGATACATGTTTATCATTCATTAGCAGCAACAGCGGATCTGATGCTGACTTGGGATACGTGGATCACGTGCGTCACTTGGGTCACTTGCATCACTTGGGCCTGAGTCCTCGTTTCAGATACAGACTTTGCGATGTCGTGCCAGGCCGTCCAACGGGGTTTTGGCCCAGGGTCATTTGAGTCATTTCGGTTAGTTGGCTCACTTGGGTCGCTTGGTCACTTGGTCACTTGTGTGACTTGGATCGGATCACTTGGGTTACTTGGGTCACTTGGATCGCTTGGATCACTTGGATCGCTTGGGTCACTTCGTTCACTTGGCTCACTTAGGCGCTTAGGCCAGAGTCACTTGGGTCACTTGGGTCACTGGGTGGCTTCGGGTCACTAGGTTTGTAAAGAAAGTATGTATCTCTGAGCCCTCGTTTCGGATATACACACTTCGCGGCTGTCGCGCCAACAGGGTAGCTTGAGCCAGGGTCACTTGGGTGACTTGGATCGCTTGGGTCACTTGGCCCACTCGGGCCACTTGTTCTATTTCCTAAGATGTTTCCCCGCGAAAGCAGGGAAGAACATCTAGGCTCATCAGACATAGTGATGTAGCCCACATGCAAGTGACCCAAGTGACCCAGTGGCAGACTTGGCTGATCTAGCTACCGAGAGCAAGTGGCCCAAGTGACCCAAGTGGCAGACATCAGTTAGCCTACCCGAAATCCGCACCTGCCAGCATGGTGGTTTTACAAGTCCTTGGCAAAGGTGAGATCCACAAACTGGTTTTGACATAGCTGTGTGTGGACAATATACACTTCACACCAGTAGGGGTTGCAGGTTTGTGAACCAGTATTCATAGTTCTTTATACGTCCCAACTGGTGCAGTAGTTTGTCCACCCACACCCTACCCTTTTCTGTGCTGCCAAGGTGGGATTCCCCGTGTTGTTGGCACAGAAAGTGGCAAGCTCAAACCCGCTTTCCACACGCAGAAGTTATTGCAGTTCCCTTCGTAGACGCCTTAAAGATATTAAACAAATTTGCTCATGTTTGCTGGTTTTAAACCAAAGCGTCCTGCAACATACGCTCACACAAATCGAGATGTGCTCCAAGTGTTGGGAATTGAACAGTTTGCTTGGGGCACAATGCTGTCTGCACGAATTGCCGCGAGCTCACCCATCATGAAGGTTTACCTTTACGCCCCGCTACCATTCCCATACTTGGCTTAGCTGCCTAGTTTGCGCTGTTTTTGCTGGTTGTATTGTTCTCCGTGTTCCCCTGCATTTGTTTGTTCTCCCTTGTTGCTTGTACAGGGAACCTATCAGTACTGGAAATAGTCAACCATACTCGGTCTGTGGTTGCTGATAACCCTGGTTGAGAAGCCTCCTGGGCCTTACCCAACGTACAACTATTGGGGGACTGATCAACCAGCGTCATTGACATTCTGAGTAGGCTGCCTCAAATCTTGCCGTATAACTTCATGGACCCACAACTTTTTGGGAAGACCACGGACTTGTTTTGGCCGGTCCAAGAAGAGAGTGAGACGACACACCCCATGCTTCCATGTCGCCCAGGAGGTGCTGAACCAGCATACCTGAGGGGTGCCACCTACGAGGGGCAAAACCAAGCCTGCGCCGGGTGGCCTTCAGTCCGCAATCTTTTTTGGGGTCAAAACCGCAGCTCTCCCTTTCTGAAGATGCGCAAACAGTTTCGGCATTTTGTTTCTGGTCTCGCTTTATGATTTGGAGGACGCCTTTGCCCCAGGGCGCAGCAGATGTCATGGGCTTCCGCCTTTGCCTGCTCGACGGCCCGGAAGCTACCCTACCCAGATTAACATGGAACCCAAAACATGACTCATGTTTAGAGGAATCTCCTCCTGGAGGACCAATTTTTTGGGTTCCATGTTGGTTTGCAGGGGGGTACATGTCACACTGGCATCCGTTTCTCTCCCCCAAAGGGGGCAGAAACAGAATGCATCTCATCCGCAAGGCTCTTGGCCCCAACCGCTTTTGTAGATGTGTTCGCCGATTGCAACATCGATGTGTGGGGCATTGTGGGGTGCTTTGGTACTTTCCAGCGTTGGGCCAGATCGTCAATTGCGCACCCTAACTCTTTGAAGCTTGCAGATCAGTGCTGCATCGATTCGCCACGGTCTTGAATCTTCACCAGTCAAACTGTCTTTATCACGCTGCTCGGGAGAGGGGATGGATGTCCACCTCTGAATCGGGCCAAGCGATATGTGTCTGCTGCTCACCCTCGCTTGCAATGTGTATCTTCTGGGTGTGGTTTGTCCTGCCGTGGTCTAAACATTTAGTTACCTCAGGCTGCCATCCTCCGTCGGGTCGGGTGAAGTCAGCCGCACGTTCGAATGATTCGCCCAGCACCGCAGATTTAAAGGTGATGCCGACAAGTGGCAGTCAGGGAAGCCTGGTGCAAAATCGCCACGCCAAGTATCGAAGAGTCCCAGCGTTCAACATCTTTAGACCTGCAAAGTTGGCAAAGAAGATATTTTATGTCGCTTGTGCTTGTGTCCTCAGGGTGGTTATTCATCAGGTGGGAATGGTTGGACAGGCAAGAGGTTCCACTTGTTCCTTGGTGGGATTCTTGGCCGACATTAGGAGGCTCTGTTCTAAGTTGTGCAGTCTCAACTGTTTCCAGACTCAAGTCACATCATCATGATGACCTTGTTAAGCCAATGGTGGGGTATGGCTTTAAAGAAGTCTGCCGATCCGTCGCCGTCGGGCCTCACAACCGAGTCAAAGTCTCCGGTCGAAATCTTCTCGCCGCCCCGAAGCCCGAAGGGCGCTTTGTGCCGGGGGACAAAGCTGGCGGCAAAAGTCGCAAGCGGAAGTCACAGTCGCTTCAGAGAGGCTGTAACTTCTTTAGCTCGGTACCCATACCTGGCTATTTGCACCTTGTGATTGGGCTTCACCCTCGTCCGAACTCAGAAAGGGCCAAAATGAGAAAATGGATTGTGGGTTCTGTGTGGATGTACACCTAGCAAGCTGGTCAGGAGCCTCCTGCCACATTTGACCAGGGCGCGGAAACTAGCTGGCTCTTCATGCCAGCAGCGCAGCAGCCCGAGGCTGCGTGCCAGTCCGAACAGCAATGCCCTTCGGCCCAAAAAATGCCGTCGACAGAGATCTATCCATTGGGGAGGGACGTGGATGAGCCCAGAAAGATTGTCCACAAAAGACAGGGGCCCTCAGGTTGACTCTGGCACGGCTCTCGATGAAAGAGTACAGGCAGTTGTTTCCGCTCTTTTCGTCTGTTTAACTTCCACTTGCTTAAGAATATGTTTTGCTAGTTCCCCTGGTTTGAAAGCAATCTATCACTGGATAGATTTGTTGTTTTTTTCTCGCGAGGATGAAAAAGCAATTGGAACATCCCGGAATCCATCAGGTGGGAACTTGGGGATGCGACAGGTGGAAAAAAGCGCGGTCCCCACAGTTCAACATGGATTTGTCTCAAAACAGGAATCAAACTCCCAAAATGTCAATGGCACATGAGGGGCATGCCAACCTGACGGGTTTTTCACAGTCCCGCCTGGCAATTGGAGGAATACTGCTATGATAAGACCATCCCCTCAAATCAAGGCTTAAGCCTTGATAGGAGGCAAAAACAGCTTGATATAAAGGTGAGTGTCCGACTTTAAGAGGGAGCCTATTTGGAAACCACAACTTACAAATGCTTATTTGCAGCAGACTTGGCAGATGCATGCGGCCATTAGCTCTCAAGCAGAAGGAAGCCTCAAGGAGAAAATGTCGCATATTTTGTTTCGTCACGAGAGGAACAGGCCATTGTTTCGAAATGCTGCTGAGGCTGACAGCGCCAGATCCCGGTTGTTCAGTGGCGCCTTCTAAATTCCATTTTGTGTGGTGGCTTTCAGACTAAACGTGTTCATCACAAAAAATAAATGTTTTCAATTCTTTGTCCTGCCAGTGTCACTGCACAACTGGAGATTGTAACGTTGGCAAGTCTTGGCAGTTCCCTCACTTGCCCACAGCCTACCTGTTTCCCGTTTCGGTTCATATTTATTCATGCCCCCAAAAGTGTTTGCCTTTGTTTGTGGGTCCTTTGGGCAAGTGAGAACTGTAGCTAATGGTCAGCTGACCCCCAAGCCATGTCAGTGCTCCGCAGCAAAGCTGACCCCACATACCTTCTGGCAGTGTTCCTTGCCAGCACTTGAACCGTTGGCTTTGTGCGAGGGATTCTGGGCCAGGACCGCTCTACAATGCCATGCAACAGATTTCATGTTTTCGCTTTCCAGGAATTTGCTAAATCCGAATCTAAGCTTTTTGGGGGCGTGAGAAGGGTCACCCAAGGTGGTTAAAACAGTTCAAGCCTTTATTTCAACCTGGGATTCCGAGGAGGCCAACCAGGCTGCGGCTTGCACGGCGAGTTGTCACTTGCCCGCCGCGATTCGGTTATACAGGGGGGTTGAACCCTCCTAGCCAAGGTTTAGTAGGTTCACAACCCCATGCATGACCAGCACTTAGCCGGCCAAGCAGCATGAACTGACTTTTGACTCTCCAGGGCCCACAGATATTTATATGCATAGTCCCTTCCTGAGTTGATAACTGTCCAGCCTTGTTTACCGCCAACATTACTCCCCTAAAACATTTGAAGTCCACAAACTGGGGGAGACAGTAGGGGCCTGGTCCAGCATGAAGAGAATTGTGCACCTTGATTGAAGCCATAAACAAGTAATAGCCTACAGCATAAGTACGGAAATAAGAGGAGCGTTTGTGCTGGGCAGGCAAGCCAAGGAAAGCAAGTAGTTATTTCCCTGAGCCGTGCAGTTCAATAACACACACACACACACCTGCAAGGGGTCATCACAGTCATGTGTCAACGACCGGTGCTTTCAACCTATGGATGTTGATTGTTTGTTTGCTTGCTTGCTTGCTTGCTGGGTGGCTGGCTGCAGTTGCAGGGCGGCTCAGCAGCTGCATGCCTGAAACAACGGGTGTGTCATGTTTAAGGTCACGTGTGCCAACATGTTCAAGCAACGAGCCTTCCATATCTCCACACAACATGTGTTTGAATGTGCGTGACACCCCTGTGCCCAATAACATGACTTGCTCAGGCGCGGCGACAGTTTGGCAGATGGCGGCTGGGTAGGCCAGCGCCCCGTGTCAGTTGATTCACGCCGCAGGGGAAATCGAGTTTGTCTTATCCTGGGAGTTCCTTTTGGGTTTATCTTTCAACCATCCCAAAACACTGTCGCGGACCCCCCCCCCGCCCCCTCGGAAATGGCAGGTTTTACACCATCCTTTCCTGCAACCTGAAGGCTTTGTGGGGATTTTATTTGGCACCAGGGCCAGGGGGTGTTCGGGGAGCTTAGATTCCATGACTTGGTGCTTTTGGCCGGGGCGAGCTTTACTACTTTGGGGGCCTTCAAGAAAGGACACCGAATCCCATTTCCGGGGATCGCTGATTTTGACACACACACTTGCAGTTTGCCAAGGTTCCTCTAAGAGTCTACCTTAGACTTGTTAGTTCCTTGCCCAAAGGGCAAGTAGGTAAAGTGTACAGAGGTGCTTGACGCTTGACCATACATCCATTGAGGTCTCGTTGCCTTACGGGCAAAGTTGTTTGAGGCCACCGGGAAGGCAGCTGGCAAGGGTATGCAAGGGTTAGTGGCTGGTTGGACACGTCGACTTAAATCCTTATGCCAGATGGTAGTGGATGGTAGCGGATGGTAGTGGTCTCTCTTGTAGCGGTGTCCTATTCTGAATTGCAGATTAGGCTCCCGCCCGCAACCCCCCACGTTGAAAACCCAGCAAGAGGACGAAGCACGTTGGTTGGAGTTTCTTCAACCCTGGCAGAATGCCCCCGGGGGGCATCGATTGTTTGCGACTCGAAGAAGGTGCACTGTACAGGACTCACATTCATTTGTTCTCCTCTAGTGGGTGGGGTGGGGCGGGCGGGGGTGGGGTGTGCTGTTTGAGGGTACCCGTTTCACCTTGGCTTTGCGAAACCCAACGCCACCATTTTGGAGGTCCCCTTATTTTGACACATACTCATGTTTGACAGAAAGCAAGAAATGTATCAATGGGGGGTTACCCTTCATTCGGCCCCCGATACGGAAGGGGGGCTTACTTCAGTGGTCTGGGAGGGATCGCTAAATGACAGCTCTCACACCAACAATGCGAAGTTGGGATGGGTTGTGCAGCATGAGCCAGGTTTACCCTCGACAGAGTGCTGTCATGTCAGGACACGCATGCAGGCCAGCAAGCTGATTTTTCTTTGCGTAACGGTGGGTTTAATGTGCCTTTTGTTGTCGCGCCTTGTTTTATCTTATGTCATCGTCGTGACCTACATGTTGCTTCCGTGGTGCACCTGTTGTTGTCTTATGCACCTTGGTTTTACCTTAGGTCGTCTGCAGGTGCCGCTTCACATCGACCTTGAACAGTTCAGGTACCTTGAGTAATTATGTGGTACGTTATCGTCAGATGCGTTGATGTTGATTCATCTTACGCCAGGCCTGGTGCAGCAGGGCGATTGCCCTCAGCTCTTTGTGAGTTGGGAGGTCTCTGAGGGCACCTTGCGGCCCAAGGCCAACCCTAGAGACTCGGCTCACGGGGCTACACCCCACGAAACACACGTATTCGAGGGATCTCCTTTGGTTTTGGGTATGTCAGGAAGCTGAGCAGCTAGGGTAAGGACAGGGCTCCCTAGATTTCCTCCTTAAACGTCGCCCCAACCAAAATGAAGCACACTCAACATGGCCCAACACGCGACGCTTGAAAGAGTACCTCGGAATTCCTCCAAATCCTCGGGAAGGCCAAATGTGGGACAGCCTTACAAATGATTTATGAACAAAAGATGAACAACTTCCAGGTTTAGGGCTGAACGGTGAGCAAGGTGCTGCATTTTGAATCAGTCCATCCAAGACTTGCCGTGGGTTGTTTTTTTATTTCCGGTTCAGTTCAGTTTGGCCAAGAGTTGTGAAAACTTGGGATAGGGCACGGACCTGCTTCGGATTGACAAACCCGTCCAAGACGAGGATATACCCTCCCAAAGTAATGAACCTCGCTAAATGGGGACACTGAGCAATCGGAGGAGGATAACTTGTACGGTCCCATTGGTTCCAAAGGAGGACTGAGACGCACGCAAGAGGGATTTTCAGCAAACTGAGGGGAGAATCTCCTTCCGGATGAATCCCAAGGCTAGTTCCAAGGAGTACTTACCCACGTGTCTGCAAATTCATCAAGAGCTTCTTTATTGCCAAGAATAGGCAAATGCCTGTGTTGAACCCCGATGAACCACCATGTTGAACTTCTGAACGCCTTTGGCTGGCCTCCCATGGCTCTGTGAGAATTGGTTGCGCGATTCGGTGAGTCGGTGACCGGATATGTAGATTCGGTGGCCAACTCACTCTCTGAGTTCTGTTTCGGACTTTGGTCACTTTTTGGATGACCAAGTTAGTGGACGAAAGGTTTTAATTAAACCATATATATATATATACATTAACATATATATATATATTTCTGACCAATCCACTCCATCCGTCAAACCCGGGGCCTCGAGGATTCGCTCTGAGCCTGGCGGCGGCGAGCTGCCAGGACGGGGGCTGGGTGCAGCTGGCGGAGCACAAGCCAAGCGACGTGCTCCAGCCCCGCGGCCACCTCTTTGGAGCCTTTTTGAAAAAGTTGCCTTTTTGAGCTTCTTTTTTTTTGCTTTTTGCCTTTCTGGCTTTCTGGCTTTCCGTGTTGCCGGCAGTTCACGTTGTTGGGAAAGCCCGGGTTGCGGCTTCACCTCCTCGAAGAGCTGCTCTTTGACGGAAACCACAAGGGCTGTTTGTGGAAATCGTTCCCTTATTCCCTGTTGAGAATTGGCAAGTAAAGCTCGGGTAAACCACTTATCGTTTATCACATTTTGGCTGGCTTGGGTACTCATACTCGCTTGCTCACTTGTTTCCCCTTCGATTCGGGTGGCTTTCGCTGGAATGGGGCAAGTTGCTCCTAGACTCCTAGACTCTAGACTAAACCTTCATTTGGTGAAATGATTTTGTTTGCTTGTCCCCTGGTTCTAACGAGAATCTATCACAGTAGTGCTGTTATTTTGCCCAGGGGACGAAAAGCAAATGGAAGAAGACTATTCCCTCTTGTGGCTCCACTGAAAAAATGCCGGGCCTTGGGGCTTGGGGTTGTTGTTGGAGGGTTAGTGGTTGAGGAGTTGATGGGTCGGAGTTTTGGAAGGTTTGGCATAACAAGCGAAAAGCGGGATCGGAGGGGGGGGGTGAGCCGTTTCAACAGTTGGGAACATTCTCTATGTGGGTGTGTTGTGCAAATTATGATGACAAAACAGATTGACTCAGGTGTGGGTTTGAACATTTACGAAGATTAATCAAGAACTCGGGGTTGAAGCGGAACATGTTAGAGCGGAGGCTGCGGAGCTAAAGAGCTTATTGGCAAATGGGCTGGGAGGGCAAAAGGTTTAGAAGGCTTTGCCATGTCAGATGGATTCAATTTCCGTTTTGTCAGATCCGCATGGAGGTGTACTTGGAACCCTTTGTTTCCGGACGGAAGGCCCAGGTGTATAGGCTTGCAGAAATTCCAGCCGCACATGTCCACACCTGCGGCATGTTTCAGGCTGCTTGCAAAATGTTGAAACGGTTCGGGGGGGTCCAAACCATGTTTTTCCCTTAAGGGGTGGCCCAACTCTGTCCATTCTACACTCCTGCAAGCATTCATTTGTTTAAGAATGTGGTTTGTGTTTACCTGTTCGCTTTAAAGGCCATCCATGACTACTGGAAACAAAGTTTATGTTTGTTTTGGGGTGGGTGGGTTTGGGGGCCCAGCTGAGGCAGTGGATGGTGGGCGGTGGAGGTTCGCAAACTCTGCGGGCCCGGCAAAACCCGGGCTTCGTGCTCTGCGTGCGCCGGGACTTTCAGGCGCGGAATCCAAAATCCAGTTGTTCAATCGGAAAAAAAGGGGTACGCTGAACAAAGACAGACCCGTAGATTTTCCTTGGGGGTGCTCAGGTACTTTGATTCAGGGGCATATGCGTGGTAACACTAAGAAGAGCCAAAGATGTCAAGTAGCAGAAGTTTGTAGAACGCAGAATCCCCGTTACCTTTGCAGAACCCCCTTGGGTTTCGTGAGAAATGTCCGCCTCCTTGGCCATTCGTGCTTGCCGCTTGGTGGGTTCGCAGCAGTTTGTGGCTCCTTCCGTCACCCCGCGACCTTCGGCAAGAGGGCCGCTCGTTATTCCGTCCGTTACCTTGCTACGTTTTTCACTTCACTTGATGTTCCCTCATCAACTTCCAATGGGAGAGATTGAGCTTCCATTCTTTGCAATCGTGTTTGTTAAAAACCTGCCCTTTTATCAGGTGATGCCCAATTGGCTGTTTGGATTGGGCTGGGGATTTGAACCCTGGTCTCGTAATTATATAGGGCGTCAATGGGAAACCACCACGGAACACCTCCAAACCACCAGTCTCCAAGCCACCGATTGGAGAGAGGCTGATCTTACCTTGGCGATTGGTGTTTGTTCACGGTGCCCATCCAAACCGTCGATGCCAAGCAGGGAATCCTGTTCAGCGCTCAAAAAAGCTGGCCGCTGGAATAGGGGGGTTCCAGGTGGTTCACCTGACTTCGTGTGGGTGGGCTTGTGCAACAGCCTGGCAGAACCAACAATCGGCTATTCCACAAGTAGGTCATTGCCCAATTCCTATTTCAGATTCTCTGGCCGTTTGAGGGGAAATTCTAGTGTCGCAAGGAGTTTTTGGCATGGCTGGGGCCACGGCGCGTCAGCTTGCAGCACTTGAGCCTTGATCTAAAGTCGGCCATTGCTCTTTCAGGACTCGCCTGAAAAGCAAACGCACTACTGAACCAAGCCACGCGGCACGCGGCACTGAGGTCAGCTGGCCTTCAGCGGTGGGGTTGAGCCAGGAAGGAATCAGTTCCTGAGTTCCATTTCGGACTTTGGTCACTTGGGGTGGCCATCCACTCACTCAGGAAATGAGAATAGCTGGCCATGCTGCGCAACGTGCACTGTTCGGGTGGCGAACAAGAAGCACGACAACTAGCTTGCCAAAGCATGGGTCCGAACACGTCAATGCCGGGGTCTCCTCCGAAAATATGTTATATTTTAGGGTAGGCAGATATGAATCAGAAGCTGACAATATGAACTTCCGTGTACAGGTCAAGGCATTCTGAGAACCCTCGGGTCAGAAGCTCTCAGCTTCCTGCCGAAGGTATAGAACCCCAAGCATGTTCCTGCTGAGGAGATTTCTCTATGCTTTTGAAGTTCCATGTTAACGGATTTAGGTAGCTGTACGATGACACCCGCGTACTGTACTAATTTGCCTATATTTTGCCTATATAGCGAGCTCTTTTGGGGGTAAACGACCAGGGTTTGAAATTAGTGTAAATTTGGATAGTTGTCAACTTGGCGCTCTATTGATCCTCTCATAGGCCTTGATGATCATCAATGCGTTCCGTTGGCCAGGAACCAATGCATCCATTCGCCTTCGAAAACGCATGCGAATGGACACCATGAGCCACAAACCTTCACTCTAGGACAGGCAAGTTAATGCTGCAGATTGCTGCAGATTCACAAGCCGCGGCTTCACACTAAAGTTATATGATATTGTATTCTATGTGTTTGCAACCTGTATAGAACAATTGATGCGGAGAAAGCAATACGAATCAACACATGTAAATATATGAATACATAGACATACTTTGTGCATGTACCTATATAATATATGTATAATATATTATATAGCATGTAGTACGATTGTGTACACGGGCAACTATACATATATTCATATGTCTGTATTTATGTGTATTCACATGTATGTATGGATATGTGCATAGAGATACATGTATGTTTATATGCGCACGTTTGTCAGCCACTTCCCTTGACACATGCCGATGATCATCGTTTCACGTTTCGGAGCCTTTGAGCACCTCGTGTTTGCTCCGCTCAGTTTTGAGCCGAATGTGCCAGGGGCTCCACATTTGGTCCTTCGATGGGCTGCCTGACCAGCACCTTTGATCTTGACCACCCCCCCAATGGAATCTAGCAGGGGCACATGGTGGACCCCGATAGGCATGATAGGCCTTGTTAGGCATTAGGCAGGGCTTTGTTGGGGGCAAAGACTATTGTAGTGGTACACGGGCAGTTTGCCCTAGTTGTGACCAATCCACTCAGGAAGTGAGTCAAGCCCTCCCCGTGTTTACGCCGTCTCCTTTTGGGTTTCCAAGATGGTTTGATTAATTGCCTTTTGTGGGCAAAAGAACAGCCAGCTTTTTGCGGCTCATAGTCCATGCTGCTCCAAATCCACAGTGGTCGTCGTTGTTGCTTCCTTTCAGTGGATTCCAGATCTTGTTTTTGAAGCGGGTGGTCAGTTACCGGAAGGAGGGCTGGAATCCTGCGATCTATGGCTCATGTTTGCAAAAAGAAGCCAGCTGCACACCCCCTTGCTCTTCAAAGCTTCTTGGGGTCATTGTGGGAAGACGTGGAAGTGAGTGAGGGATTTCCAGGGTGAGACTTACCACGTTGATTTCAACCAGCCCAATGATCTCCTGTCACCAATGAAGTTTGAAGTGAATAGCCAGGGATTTCATTTTGGCTTCTAAACTCACTCCGCAGTTCCTGAACTTCATGCTTGTTTGGGAAGCCCGGTTGAGTGGCAAACGCAAGTTTTGTCTTTCTTGGCCAAACCACTCAGGAAGAAAATTGGATCCATTGGGCACTTGGATTGGGACAAGCACTAGGGTGAGACTGTTTTACTTCACTGCTCGGTCATGGATTTTACTTGTCCTAACAAACAAACGGCTACGACATACTTGGTAGCAATGGAGACAGGCCAGGTCTAAACAATACAGAAACAATTAGACACATATAAATACATCTATCTATCTATCTATCTAATCTAATCTAATCTTATCTAATCTTATCTAATCTAATCTAATCTTATCTATATCTATCTATCTATCTATCTATCTATCTATCTATCTATCTATCTATCTATCTATCTATCTATCTATCTAATCTATCTATCTATCTATCTATCTATCTATCTATCTATCTATCTATCTATCTATCTATCTATCTATCTATCTATCTATCTATCTATCTATCTATCTATCTATCTATCTATCTATCTATCTATCTATCTATCTATCTATCTATCTATCTATCTATCTATCTATCTATCTATCTATCTATCTATCTATCTATCTATCTATCTATCTATCTTATCTATCTATCTATCTATCTATCTATCTATCTATCTATCTATCTATCTATCTATCTATCTATCTGTATACCCTGACAATCCAATGTATGCAAATAGCGCTTGCATTCGCCGACGCCAGCGTTTTTCAACTACATTGCCCCGATAAACCTGAATGTAGCCAATTTTTGTGGACATTCAAACCAACAAGATCCGACAAGGGTTTCGACAAACTTTCCGACAGCCATTTCGACAACTCCGTTCGACGACGCCTTCCAACCACTCTTTTACGTCCGTTGGGGCAACAACTTCAAACTCACAGGGCAGAAACAGACAAAGGCAGCCTCGGAGTGACGCATTGCAAACTAACAAACATGCAAATTCCTGGCCACGAACCTATAGGGCACAGAAATGACTCTAGCCAACCCCGGCTATCATTGCCGGCAAATGTTGCTTACCTGTCAGCGCGCGATTGACTTGCATAGTGTGCAGATCTCGCTGAGGACTTTCGCCTGTAACGCTTACCTGGTTGAAGGGCTGGCTTGCAGCACGTGTTCGATAGTTCAAACTCTTTAGTCACAACATTAGATTTCCAGCGCAGGGTGACACCAAGGCACCGCGGGTTGGCCAAAACCTATCAAAAAGCCAAAGTATTACGCATAAGAGCTACGCTTGGAAAAAACAACTCCTTGCAAAATACTTCGCAACAGGAGATCCGTCAATCCAACAAAGTCGACACACACTGCACTGATGGGGGTCGCTACCCCGAACAGAAGACTTCAGCAAATGACGCTGCATCGTTCATGTCTACACGGGCACGAATTCGACACCGTACCTGCGTATATCTTAAATGCGTTCCTTCCTGTTTGTTTGTTAGTTGCGACCTTGGCTGTCCCGAGGCACCTGCCCGAATCATTGAATTAAGCACGCTTACATTTAATTACGTACGCTTACAGACCAGCGCGCTTACACAGAGGCGATGGATCGTTATGACAAGTTGCTCGCGAACCAAACATCACCGACGTATAGGGTTGATTTACCATAACACATCTCCAACCACGAACTTTGTTTTAGAGCAATGCCACGCTGCCACAACCCCGTCCAGAGCGCAAGCCCAACTTAAAGTGCCCTTGTTGTGTTGAAGTTTGAAGCAGGTGTTTCATCATCTGTTTCGACGAAACTCCCTTTGAAGCCACGTTAGCAGTTCCCAAGCATAATTGAAGAACTCGAAATCGCACTGGTTTAGGCTCTAACGAAGCCTCTACGAACTGTCGCAGACCTTTCTCCTATCGATGAGTCGCAATTCAACAACTCGCAGCTTCAAAGAAGGGTCAGCTTGCTGTGTACGTATATCAAACAGGAATGTCAAAATGTGCTGCGAAGGGCTCAAGTGGCCTTGAGGAAAATGATTGAGACTGCACTGGACGGATATGACGCTCCATATGTTGCTTTGCAAGAGCTCGATTGATCGATGAAGCCCAACTATAAAGGACACGCGTCTTCTGAGCAAATCGCAGAGTGTGATAGTCGGAATGCCCCCAGAATGTTTTTTTTGTAGTTGTCTATGTGCGTTGCCCGGCCAACATGTGGTGCCAACTTTTTTTCTTGTGCTCTCCTTGCTAACTATGTCCCTGCCAGTTTATCTCCGAACATTTTAAGCTCTTTGGTTTGCCCTCATGGGGTATAGGGTAGCATTAGCGCTAGGGCTATGGTACTCTATTGGTCCGACAAACGCTTCTCTTTTTGGGCCAGCCTGCCAAGTCACACGCCAAATCCCTGAAAATCACATATGTCCTTCCAGCACAAGCTAAAAACGCAAAACCGAGGAGAAATCAACATCACAGTTTTCTGGTGAACGTTGCCAGCAGTACACGCACTATCCGGCAATAAATCACGCCAAATCACGCGAAATCACGTTTTTCCGTCAACGTAAGCAAAAATATGACTACGTTCCGACAACAAATCACGCCAAATCACGCCAAATCACTCCCAGAGTTGCTGGGCCATTTGCTGCAGCCAGTGATGCGCAAGCTGTTTGGGGCTTGTGGAAAATGTGGCGCGGGCACAGTTTAGCCAGCCGCCGTTTTCAGGTGTGAGAGAATTTGAGGAATACTTTGCTGAGCTGCAGTCGGAATTCCCTAATGCACGTGCTGGGACTTTGTCGAGGCGGAAGTTTGGGCAGCCTGCTTATGAAAGGGAGTAGAAAACTTGAGTGGCCAGTTTGGAGCTCTGAAAAAGACTGATGATGGCATGATGATGGTATTGTATGGTAAAACTTGAACCCTTGCTTAATTAGGAGTTAGGAAATCTACCTGGCAAATCCGGGTTCACTTAAAAATCCGTAGCGACAAGCAATCGCATGCCAAGCCCGGTCGGAGAACGAATCTTGCGTGGCACATATTGGCTACAGTGACTGTTCGTCGTGGCATGTATATCCTCCAACGTGGGCGGGGTTAGAGATAATGGTTCGAACATTTTGAATCTTGGGATAATGACAATGACCTGAAACGAGGCACAAACACTTTGTGTCATTACACAGTACATCGAGACAAAAATAATCTCTATTTGTATGCATTGTACACAAATCATATGTTATTGCTTCATCTGCCTGACCAATTTGAGCCGTGTTTTTGCAAATTACTTTTTTAACACCCTTTTCGCATAAGAAGCCTTCTTCCTGGATAAATGCAGGTTTGAGTGCAGGAGCCTGAGTGGCCAATATTTTGCTTTGGACTCCTCATCTCGCAGTCAGTAAGGAGCCAGCATTTCTAAGTCCCAAACAGAATGCCTATGCGCAACCAAAATCATGCCCAAACTCAGCTGTCGCAATCCCAAGTTTGAAGTAGTTTTGAAAATTGCGCCCCGCTGGTAGCTGTTGGGTACAATAAGGGATTTTACCTTGCTTCCTGATAGAGGATAAGCAAAACGGGGGTATAGGTAAAATTACTAAATCAAGTATTTTACATCCTTCCGCACAGGATCGTAGCAAGATTACCTAGATAATAACTGTTTGCGCTTATGTTACATTTACCTCCTTTCTGGTTGGGAGTCGGGAGTGAGGGCTTCTGGTAACAAGTCCCGACTTTTAGCGGCAAACGCCGTCGTGCCAATGATTTGCATTGCGATGTTGACAATTGGAGTATATTGGACTCGTTCGTATTTTGCAAGGTCTCCTCGTTTGTGCACATACACGAAGTCTGCATTTCACCAGCGCGAATTGCAAGCGCAGAGTATGCTGACAGTATCCATGCTGGTACAAAAAGAATGGGCGTGCAAGTCACCGGTTGCTACTGCAGGTAACACGCAACCAAAACCATGTTTGATGTTTTACCCATTTCTCCCCAAAACATCCATACTTTGAAGTGGTTATGTCAACACTGCGACGAATACTGCTCAAACGAAACAGACTTGTGTAGCAAAGGGGGCTCTGTGCGGTATGTTTGCGGCTAAGTGTGCAGGCTGGTAAGAAAGATTATTTGACCTCGTGCGATGGTGATTGGGACTGACAAACGTGGTCACTTCTGGACGGGATTTTGACTGTCCGACGGGGGCGTTTCCAAACGATGCCATTCTTGGGTTCTATTTTGACTGTCCGACGGGAGCTCCGACAAATTCCGACAATGTCGTCATTTTTTGGCTCGTACCAATGTACCCAAAAAATGGCTACATTTCAATGTATGCCATATTTGCCTACATGGATTCTCTGGGATATATACATATTAGCTGCTGCAAGTGTGGATTCCGCAAATTGTGGTGCTCTATTTGTTTGTTAGCACTTTCCAAGTGGAACCCACAAATGGGTAAAAACTTGCTGCGCCCCCTGTTCAGGTTGATAAAAAGGGAAACCAAGAGGAACACCATCAATTTAAGGGGTACCCCAATTTGACACATGCCCACGGACAACTCAATGAACCACCCCACCCCCTCCCCCCCCCAAAAGAAAGCAGTCTCTCAATCTTTTGCTGACCCGCAACAGAAAGATAAGGCCCGTTTCCTTGTTTTGGAGGGGGGGCCGGGCAATGCCAGCTTTTGGTCAAGAGGGAAACCAAGAGGAGCGTCTTTCTGGGGGGTGCCCTTAACGCCATTCCTAAGGTATGGTCAGTGGGAGATCGTGGCTTCCTCGGCTCGGGACCCTCGGCCCCCCCTTGCCGGCGGCACTGCGGAACGTGAGTCCGCGGGAGTTCTGCGACCGGCCGCTGGGCAAGGATCATTTTTCATGGTTCTTGGCATGTGGCTCAGCGCCTTATGTGGTCAGCAGTATATAAGGTTGTTGCGTTGTTTTTGCGTTGTTTTTGCCGGCTTTTGTCATGTTGAGTAAACAGGCTCAAGCCACACCAATGGCTGTTCCCGATTCCTTTCTCAGCCAGTCTCTTCGTAGATAGCGCCGGTAGACTAGCACCGCGGAGCGTTCCCTGCCTGTTCCCGTTTGCTGTCTAAGACAGTCTCTTCGTAAAATCGCTTCCTTTCCAAGCTTGCCAATCCCCTTTTTTTGGCGGGCTCCCCTTTACCCAAGAAAAATAGCCCCTTCTCATCCAGGGTCACCGAACAGGGCAGGTGGTCATGGAGCGACTCAGGGTGGGCCTAGCAGCCAGGCTTCCACACTGTGTCGTTCCTTTTTGCAGGGCCAAATATTTTTTTGGGGTTTAATTCTGAACTTCGAGCAAACCCGCTTGTCGTTTGTCTTTGGGTGGAGCCAGCTTCAATTTCACCCCCCGAAACCCCTTCCTTTTCAGCCATCGGCCCAGAGTTTGTCTACATTTCTGCAGTGAAGGATCCCTGCAAAGACTGAGAAGTAACAGCTAGATGTGTGTTTTCCGGCTTGTTTTCTGTGAATGTGCTGCGGGAAGCACTCTTGCGGTATCCTTCCAGCCGTTTTGGGTGAAATTGGGGCCTTCCAGCAGCATCCCAGTCCAACCAAGACAAAGAACAACAAAACGCAAACGAAGACAACCAAAGAAGCTCAAAAAGAGCCAAACAAGAACGAGGCCAAGAAACCCCGAAACGACCAACGGGAGCAATCAAAGAAGCCCAAAAGAAAAGAAACAGAAAGAAGCCAACCCAGAAACCAAGCCAACCAAAATCCCCCCACCCCTGTTCCGAGGTCCTCTTAGAGCTGCGTTCGGCTGCTTGCCGCGAGGGCGAGGCCTTGGTGGATTTGCACAGCGAGCGCTTCGTGCGCGCCATGCGCCGCGGAACCAAAACTCAAACAACACCGCTCTACAAAAGTTGCGGTCTACACCGTATCTGGCTGAATTGGAAGCAATCCCCATCAGGAATTCATTCTGAGCACCCCTCAAAATGTTCACTGTAACAAACCCACAAAGTGGATGTCGTTGCCTTTCTTGAGAGGTCCTATTTGATCGATGTTAAAGGGAAACCAGGAGGCAACCTGTCATTTGGGTAGTCCCCAAGTTTAAGGCAAACCCAAGGAGATGTTTCTGAAAGCAGAAATCGGTCCCCTGAAATTGTTGGATTTCTTATTGCCCTCCCTTTAAATACCAACGAAAGGGTGGTCCACCGTTTTGAAAAGATCCCAAGTTGTTGCCCAAGATCAATCAACACCTTCCACTGCCGCCGTGCCACGGACAGTGGATTATAACCTTTGGTGCCAGATACTTAGCCTGTATTTTGTTTTCTTGGCTGTCCCGAAGGAAGCCGAAAGGGGATGGGTAGCTTGCATCCAAGCCAACACGTCAAAGCGGGCCGACTTTCTATACCTCCGGAGCCTCCCTCAACCCAAATGTACAGGTATTTTCGCGGTATCCTTGCTATCCCTCAAGACTTAGGGATGCACACGTTTCTGGGGGTTGGGTGGGAAGTTGCCACGCTCGTGGCTCTTCCCGGTTTCGCCTTTCAGAAGGCTGGCGATCTTTCTCAGATTTGTTCGATTTCCGGGTTCAACACCATTCCTGGGATGGGATTAGCATGGAGTCATACAAGGGAAGCATTGGCTGCCATGATCAGGGAGTCTAAGGGCTAAATGATGCCAACTGCGCCACTGTAGCTGGGCAAGTTGCAGCGAGCTTTGGGGGGAAATTAGTACGAACTTAACCCAGAACAACGGTCCCTATACTCGGGATTTCAGTACTTCCGGTTTCAACTTCAAATTGTGCAAGCTATGGTACCATGAAACCTGGGCATCCCACAGACATGTTTTTGGACCGAGGCTTTGCCGCGCGGCAGGTGCCTGCAGCCCTCTTTGCCCCCGTAATCTGTTGAAGGACTAAGCTGACCTTGGAAACTTCAGGCCAAAGTTTTGGGATTTCAAGGTCCCGTCAAAGGCATCGTTTGGCTGGCTTTTCTGGCTCAAGTATGTGTCAGAAAACCCACAGAAGAATAAGCCCGGGTGGCAGCCCCAGCCACCAGAGCCTTCGACCAGAGCCTTTCACCCAACGCGGTGGCTCCGAACAAATCTGACCTCGATGGTCCCGAGGCAAAGCCTCGTGCTGGTGCTGCAGCTTCTGGGGTGGCGCGTCAGCGATTTGCTGGACACGGATACCGAGAAGCTGGTCCGATTCTGGGCCAAGGCTGGTGCCTGGGCAAAACAAGCTGCGACAACTTGAGGTTTGGTGCTCGATTGAACCAACTGAAAGAATTATTGTCCGTGGCTCAATGTGAGGTTTGGTACAGATTACCGGCAGTCTATGGTCCATTTGGTTCGGAACTTGGGGCAGGGGACAGGCCCAATTCCCGGCATCTCGTTCAGGGGAGGCAAGCAATTTCGAACGGGGCTCAAATGTTTGTGCGTGTGTGCTTTTCTTGTTGAGGGTATACCTTTTATCTTTCTTTTTTGTTGAATCTGGGTTGAAAGGGAAACCAAAAGGAGCGCCACTATGAACTGTCGGAATGAATTAAGGTTTTTTATAAGCAAATCAAGTTGCCAATGCACAGAAGCGCACTTCTTGAGTTCCTGCACTCCACCATTTTCGGAAAGACCATCTCAGTGGCAAACAGAAGGTTTGGACGTTTTTGGCCTACACACTCAGAAAGTGAGAGATGCTGTGTCCCGCAATAGTGATTGGGATCCCGTAACCAAGCTAAGGTCCACCCCGGATTCCCAGTTGTTCTGTGGCAGCCTTTTTCTACTTGTGCTTGGCGTTGCTCGACTCAGAATGGAATCAACCCCAAAACGATTCTCTTTTTCTACCTTTCGGGTCATTGGGCAGCCGATATGACATCTGATATAGACCCTGCCGATACTTTTGGTGCAGCTCCCTCAAAAGTGAACCAGAAACCTCTGAAATGTATCGACCAGTGGTGAATCAAATCTTGGTTCCCATTTCTGCGCGCCACTTGCGCCATTTGGGGATGTCTCAAAATAGGGTTACCCTCTGAAAGGAGGTGTTCCTCTTAGTTTCTGTTTAAGCCAAACTGAAACGGGAACCCTCAAAAAAGACAAAGACCATGTTTCCTTTGCCAAATATTCAGTTGTGCCACCGTCCAAGGAAAGCCTTCTTACCGGGACTGGCTGCTGTCGGAAACTGACCTGCATGCCGAGACCGGATATCAGGAGAGCGGATTGGATGCCCAAAGCAAATTGACCGGTCCATACTTAGTCAAGATTCCAAAAGGTTGGCATTTTGGCTCCGGGTCCCTTGGTTGTAAGTGAGTAGCGGCTACATGAACCATACCTCCCTCAGATCAACATGGAACCAACCAGATCATGTTTAGAGGATACTCCTCCTTGTTTGGACTGTGTCCACTCCTACAGGTTATTTAGCGCGGAACACAAAAAGCATCAATTTGTGGAGGCAAATTCTTTCGGGGGACCCCTTTTTGGGTTCCATGTGAACTAGAGGCAAGGAATAAGCTGAACTTTGTGTTTTCAGGCTTTGGCTCAGAAGGGCCCGGCTTCATGACATACACCCGGCTGTCTTTTTCCGTTTTGGTTTGATGGCTTTAGCAGTTTAGCATCCCGTTCAAACAAGTCACTTGCAGAACAGAACGCCGACGTGTTGAGAAATGGCTGCCCCATTTGGAATCATTTTAAATCAAGGTTCCAACATATTGACCAATTTCTTGTATTTCTGGGAGGGTAGGGCATGGCAGTTGCCAACTTCCTCATGGCGTTGGGCTCGGCCCAAAGCCACATGGGCCTTTTCAGCTTGGTAAAAAGGAAACTAAAAGGAAGCCCACCATGGGTCCCCGTATTTTGACACACATACACACACCCCTGCTTCAAACTGTTTCAACCGCCTCCTTTTTTTGGTTTCACTTTTGTTGGGGGCCAGGCTTTAGCTACAAAATTTGCCAGTAGCTGATCGTCTTGGTGGGCTGGAAGGTGGTGTGTTTGGGTGTGTAGCACTTGTATGACAGGGGTGTGTCTCAATATCGGGGGCTGCTTATCCAAAAAGGGTGACCTCAAAAAAGACTTACCACAGGAGTATGTCGATGATTCCCTGGCTATGGCGAATCTGTGGCTCGCTCGAAACCTGAGCTTCTTCGTAGAACTGCCGGGACCCTCAGCACTCCGAGGGGCTTACTCTCAGGGACGCCTTCAAAAAGGACAAACCCACCTCATGATCACGAGCCAACGTCGGAATTCCTTGAAAGAGGCCCCACAATAAATCATTATATTCCTTGACATCTGCTTCTAAGATGTCCATTGCACCATTGCACAGGTGTTACGGGGAAAAGGGGCACCGTTTGTTCTCTTGTTTCGATGTTTTTTCCCCAACAGCTGAAAGCTTTGGGGTCTCAGCCCAGATAGGCTCCGGGGTGGTTCGGGGCGGCCCTGAGGTAAGGTGCCACGGGGGTTCCACCAGGCTTCCACCAGGGTTCCACCAGGCTTCCACCAGGGTTCCGCGAGGTTCTGCGAGGTTTTGCGAGGGCTGCAGGGTGGTGCGAGCACTCAAAAGAGCACCGCATGCTGCTGGGGATATCACCTGAGCTGTTTTTTTTTTTGTTGGGGGGGGGGGCAATTCCTGGAGGTTCTTCAAAACAGACGGATGTATGATCAATCTTGGCCAATAATAAATTCTCTGAATTGCGAGGGGTTCCAACATGATTGGGGCCAAGTGCCTTAACCTGTCACGGTGTCTGAGCTATTTCACTGGCATGGATTCCGCCACCCTCCCCTCCACATAAATGATGTCAAGCAAAGGGGCCCACCCATTCTGGAAGATTCACACCTGAGCGCAAACCAGGATAGAATATTGGTATTCATTCGTTATTGTCAACATAGGAGGACCTAAAAAGACTCCGCCCTGATCCCTAAAGTTAGTCCATGGGAAAGTGAGCTATCTCTCATTAAGTGAGCTATCTCTCATTGAGCCCTCCCCCCCCCCACATTTTGTTTTTTGAAACATAAAGCCTCCCCCCCACCCTCCCTCCGTTCAACTCGTTTGTTTCGTCCTATGCTGCCTTGGAACATTTTAGAATACAGCCGGGGAACAGGTTCTTGGCTGCTGACAAGGAACCTCCCGGCCCCGAAAGTCCAAAATGTCGTTCCAGGGAACCCAAGTGCTGGAAATCCAAGCAGTATTGGCAATGCAACATATAGTATTGGCAACACTGAAGTAAGCACTGAGAAATCTGAGATTAAGCACTTGCGTTGGGGAAGCCAATCATTGTTTGCAATGCAAACTGGTAGGTTGAGGATTGGCAACACTACATCTAAGTAGTTACTGGGAATCTGAGACTAAGCATTCGCAATATTGAATTCAATATTTTCAATCAGTAAAGATTAAGCAGTGGCCAGCCTCAACATGACGTGTATGACACCCCGCTTAGCAAGTGCCAGCCAGTTATGTGCGAAAATGTGCGCAAAACCCGGACTTCAGTGGTGTCCTGTGCCACAATGTTCTGGAGGGGGGGATTGAAAGTCAACTGCCAAAAAGAGTATGCCCTGATTTTTGCAAAAAGTTAGTCCGTGGAACGTGAGCTATCTTTAAAGGACCCCTCCCCCTCCCCGCGAAACATGGAACATCCAAAGAAAGGAATTCCCCTTCAAGCGAAAGAACGCGTCCCCGTTTTAAAACAACCAAGAAAGGATACAACAAACAAAGGATGCCCCTTGTCGAAGCAGAAGAACCGGAGGTTTGATCTCTTGGCCGATGGCTTCCAGACGCCAGATGCGGTGAATGTGGCCTACTCGCGGACGCTTCAGGACAGACTCGAGAACATAGTCAATGTGTTTGACCCACTCCCCGAGTTGGACTTTAGTCACTTCTTGGGTTTGGACCATTTTGGTGGTAAGCGACAAGTTTTCACGTTCAACAATCCACTCAGGAAGTGAGAGGCACTGACAAAGGACTAAATATGGAGCAAATCTGAGGGGGGTTGACAGTGAATGGACATGGGAGACTTTGTTGAAAAATGATCCGCTTTTTCAAGTGTCGTTGTGCTTTCCTTTGACCGCCCGGGCTTCACTATGGAATCAACCACCCCAAAAGAGTTCCCCCTGTCCACTTCCTGATTGTTGCAAAGAGGGTAACGCTGGGTTCCCAACTTGCGCGAACTCATTTGGGCCTTCTAGGGCCAACCTTTCACCTCCCAACCCTCTTTAAGTGAGTTTCCACCCGGGGCCCCTTTGGTGGACATCGCTTAGGTGGGGATTTATGTCCTATGAAAAGTCATGGCGAAATCTTCCCGTTGCCTCGAACAGACTCCTGCGGGAGGCACGCACGGCCAGTTGGTTTGGAGCTCTGCGCCGTGGCGCGCAAGCAGTGGCGCGACTGGGGGAAGTAGTGCTTGTGTTGACAAATGATGACTAATGATTGTGTGTGCGCGTTCTTGCGTGCACTTGTTTTAACGAGCTTGTTGTTTTTTCTTCTTTGTAACCTTGGCACTTGACATGCACTTCATGACGGTTTGTGTGAACCCCATGCAAAGCAGCCAAAACGACATTGAGACAGGAGCATCATTCCTTCCTCCAACGGCAGGCGGGTCGGGGCAGGATTTCGCGGGCTGCGCCCTACAATTGGCCGGTGCCGGTTGCCGGGGTGTGGGGTTGGACTCAAAGCTGGCTGTGTGAGGCTGGTTCTTGGTTCTTTTGCGGGCAGATCTTCAATCCCAAGCGCTGCGCAGTTAGAGGGTCTGCCTGTTAGATTCCTCTTTGGAACCAACATAGTGGCCGGCCCTTAGAAACCCTGTTTGCAGGGGGTTCCTTTTCCTATGCTTTGACGGCCTGGTTTTGGCTTCCCTGCCAGGGTCGGATTCAAGCAAAAGTTGTTCTGCTTCACATTGGGGGTCTGGTTTTGTAAACACAGGCTCAGGTATGCCCAAGAACCGAGCAACCCAACAACGCCTCCCCTTCCGCAACCCCTAAGCTTTCAGCTCTTCGATCTGGAGGAAAGAGGCGCCCTGAATGGGGCGACGTCCAAAAAGCTTTGAGCTGAGGGATAAAAACACCCGTCCCACAAAATTGAGCGGCTTCCTTGCGGTTTCCCTTTGCAACAAGCCCAACAACATCAACCAGCAAAAGGTACACTCTTTGCGGCATTGCGGGGGGTTCAAGTCTGGCCCAATGCGGGCCCCCCTTGCCCTGTCCAGTTGGAATTCCTTTCTTCCAGTGGGACGGCCCGGGCCCCGGATGAAAAGGGACAAACCACCAAAGATATACAAACTACACCCCTATCAGTTACACCCCCACCCCCGTCGAAGCCAAACAGAGGCCTTCTTCCTGGTCTTTGGGCAGCTCAAAGCCCGCGAGAGTCTGCTTCAAGTCTTGGAAGGCCGGGTGGGGCTCCGGTCCCGTGGCTGCTGGCGCTGAGAAACGCATTCATGGCCCTTGGAAAGTGGCGATTAAATGCGTTACTACAAACTTCCAGTCGAGCTACCACTAAACAGGTTGGCACAAGGGATATGATAGAGTGGAATAAGGCAAGCAATCCAAAACAATTATTGCGAGCCTTAAAGACAAAAGATTATGAGATGTTCCAGTTTGGCACATATAGGTTTGGGGGGGGCGGCTCATTTGCTCACTGATCTTGTCGATTTTCCTCTGTTGATTTTACATGGATTCTATCACTACTGTTTGTTTGATGTTCCTTTTGATGGGACCTAAGCAAATGGGTTGAAAAGGAAGCCCCCCATTTCCCACAAGCAGTTTCGGGTTTTGGGCGGTTTGGGCGGTTTGGGGAGTGTCCTCTTTGAAAGGAAGGCTTAGATCAATCAGGAGGACCTTCAGAGGAGCCCCTTGCAATAGATTTAACAGCCGCACTCCTGATTTGTACAGGCCGGATTTTGGCTTCTGCAATTAACATGTTTAATGCCCCACTTTTTTGAGGGGGGTCCCTGCGTAATGAGGATGTCTTTCTTCCAAATAGGACGGCCCGGACCCCTGATGAACGCCTGTGGGTTTATTAAATTGGGGTGTTTTTGGATTTTTAGGTTCGCCAAACGGTAGCATGGGTGTGGGACACCTAATGCTGGGGAAACGACAAGTGTTTTTTGTCCGTACCCGCATTGTTGGTTTTGGAAGTTGCGAAATCAGGCTTTGAGTCCCTTAGTTTCCTCTAGCTTCCTCAAAGCCATAGCTGCTGGGAAGGGGAAGGGCATCATTTAAGTGAAAGCGGCCTTTGCTGGACATCCAAAATACACGGCCAGATGTTTGTCCACTCACGTTTGAGGAGGTGAGGTGTCCTTCGTATTTGGCTCGATTCGAGCCGTTGGAAAGATGATGGGAACCTTTACTCGGCTATCAGCGGTTTCCCTTCGCTGCCCTTGACCCAAATTTCCACTGTCCTCGAAACTGTTCATTCACTCTGGGCGAGGATTGAAACTACGGCTTTCGTCATGTTACATTTGCATGTGATGCCAGGTTGGCCCAAAGGGACCCAGAAATGTGTGTCAGTTTCCCCCAGCAAAAAGCAAAAATATCTATGGTGTCACCCCCAGCGCATTGCAAAAAAAACCGCTTCCCAAACGCCCGCCCTTTTCAAAAGCGTACCCCCTGGCTTTGTTGCACACCTGCGCATGGCGAAATGCAAAGTTGCAGTTTTAAGTCCTGCATGTCAGCTCGAGCACCTGCACGAATGGTTTAGATGTCGATGCTATGCAAGTCCAACAAATCTTGGTCCACGGAAGGGGGGCACATCTGTGGCTAGAGTTATGTTCTTCTCCGGCGTTTCCGTGTTTGCTTGCAGCATGACTTGATAGGAGTGAAAACATTAGACTAGCTGAATTGATGGATTGGAATGTTTGGGCATTTGCCTTTTGAGTTTAAAGTGTGAATGGAATGCCGATGACCACCCCTCCCAATGACATCTAATGACCAGAGGAGGCTGAAGTTGAATCGATACCAGCCCGGAGGCCCCGAGAGTTTGTTGGGGACTGCCAGCTGGAAAATTGGGCTGTTCCCATTTGCTGTGGTTGTGCTGGTCTTTTTCTGGGCTCTCTGTTTGGGCCATACTCTTGGGCAAAAGGTGAGGTAGGTTACCAAGCTAAAGGCGAAGAAGTTGAGCTATTGCCCCTTCCTCCATTCACGGACTTAGACCCAGTGGTTGGGAAGACTGTGTTCCGATTGGGTGATAAATTTCCAACGAATGGCGGGGTGTCACAAAATGGAGAACTCGCCTTTTGTTACTTGCGGGTAAGATGGAGCATGAAAAATGATAAATGGCATGAAAAGAAGTGCCCCGTGTTTGGAAAATCCTAACGCCGGTGATGCTCGGGAGTGATTAGTAAACGCCCACTCCCCCTCAAACAAATTGGGGGGAGGTCTTAGTCAGCTGACCTTGCCGCTTGAGGCGAGGTGGCAGTTGGCCCCATCGCCGTCGAGCAGGACCCATGGCTTGCGAGAGTGAGGGACGGGTCCCAAGCGCTCGTGCGCGCATCCACATGGGCTGGTTTCTGTTGGTTCTCGTTCAGGCAAAACCCCAAAATTGACGCCCATTCAGATTGCGAAATGCTTTTTGTCTAATGATTCTTGCGTAGGTGTGTCACTTAGATGACCACCCCAGTTCGCAAGTGCCTGGTGAATAAGTCCCTGACGTAGGATGTAGCCTTTCCCCGACTTACCAGTGACATTGACCGCTTGCCCCGGCCACCCATCGCAAGTCAACATAAAACAACACCACCTATCCATGTGTGGGACTCGACTGCCCTTTTCCAGAGTTTTTGGGAGAGTCACTGGTTGGTCATCCAGGAGTTGTCAATCGTGGAAGTGGACAGGAGCGGCCATGGAACCTGTGCACTTCCACGATTGATAAAAGGGTAATACATGGTAATACACCCTTGGTTGATTCATAGTTTTAGTAATACAGCTTTCCTTGGCCGCCTTTGGAGGCAGCCCCTCTCGCAGATTGGTCATCCAAGTAGGGTGTTTTTTTTTGTTTTTGTATATGTGCAGTTTCCCTTTCAAGCCCATGTGCAGAACGTGCGCGTCGGACAATGGTCTTCTTGGTTGGATTCCGTTTGGGGGTGTGCTCCCGAGATGGAAGCTGACTGGAGGTTCCAGGCATCTTTCTTTTTCGCAGGGGCCCTTCCACCAACAAGCGGGGTACCCACCAAACGTGGAAGTGCGCCTCAGCCAAAACTTCCATTTGCTGAAATGAATCTCAGTTTTTTCATTTTCCCTTGTTGGTGTTTAAAGGGAATCAAATTCACTGGAAATAGGTTTCTTATTTTGCCCAGGCGAGGAAAGGGATAGTCTTCCGAGGCCACCACTTCCACTGGGAGGGTCTGAATGTGTAGTGCGCACTGGTCTCCTGGTTACGGTCGGTCCTGGGATTGTTTGTTATTATTTTCGCATTGATTTACTGTCGAATTCTGTTTCAGTCCGAATTTTCAGTATTCCTTAGTATTGTTTCAATGTCTATTTGGTGGTTTTAGAGTTGGTTATTGTTGATTTAGTGTTGCTCAGTATTGCGTTGTGCAGCCTGGTAGGGATCAGATATTTTAGTAGAAAATACTTGGAAGCTGCCTGTTTGTTGTTATGTGTGTTTTTTGGGTTTGACACTAAGTAAAGATGGTGTGCTTCGCCTTGTGTGGTTGGTAACATTTTCACAAAATGTGGTGCTTGTGACCCAGGACAACACGAGAAGTTCTTAGAGGTCTAAGCTTGTCAGGGTTTGAAAGGCTTAGGTTTAGAAGGCGTGAGACAGCGGAGGCCGCCAGAAGAGAAAGCGGCTGTGTCATCTCCTCTATGCTCTGTCTTTGTTTTGACATTAATTAAAGATGCTCCCAATCAGTCGGATGCTGTCATAGAGGGGGAAACATTGGGAGGCCGTGCGCAGAACCCATTTCGGTGGAGGGAGCTTATGAACGAGACATAGCACTCCTATGACTTGATGGAAACGCGCAAAAGCAACACTTGTTCAGAGGAATCTCCCTTTGGAATGGGATGGCTTCTATGTCAACTTGCAGACCAGTACTGTACTTGAACAAAATGTGATAAGGAAGAACCGATTTTTCCACTCCTTTTGTTGCTTTCCCTTGCTCCCCACCTGGCTGCGCCTTAGAATAAGGAAACCATACAGTGGGTGGTTTCCAAGGGTATAGGAGAACCCGCAAAATAGTGATTTCCCTTTGTTTGCCCTGTGAGCCGAAGTGGATTGGAGCCGCAGATGAAACACACAAGCAAGCAAGCAACCACGCAAGCACAAAGGATCACGCACAACCACAGAAAAACTGACGCAATCACACGCAAACACTCACACAAAGCACATACACAAAAACGCACAACAACACACACAAAAGAGACAACAAAACCACACGCACACAAAGAAGCACACACACACACACACAAACACACACCTACACACCACACCTACACACCACACCCACACACAAACACAACAACCACACCTTCACACACACACACACCACGCACACAACACACGCACACCACACACACTTGATCCGCTCCTCGACAGGACAAAGTCACCTGGTCTCTGTGCTTTGCTTGTTGCATTCCCTGCCAAAAACTCTTTGCTACCATAGCTGTCATACTTGATCTGAGACAGTCCATCACAAACGTATCCAGAGGTTCGAAAGGACGAAAGAAAGAAAGAGGCATGCCAGCTGCGGAGACATCCGCCCAGGCCCTGCCTGTTTATTTGGAGTTTCGGATGCTCTGCTGGATTTCCTCATCAGGATCCCAAGCCCAGCGGAGTGGGGACCGACTCCATTCCTTGCAAAAAAATCTTTGCTATCAGAGCTGTCACACACACACACACCACACACACACACACACACCACACACATACGCACACATCACAACCACACCGCCCCACACCACGCACACACACACACACACACGCGTGCACATTCCACCACACCTCAACGCACACGCGCGCGCACACGCACACCCACACACACACATGCACGCACGCACGCGCACACACACACGCACACACGCACACACACACACACACACACACACACACACACACACACACACACACACACACACACACACACACACACACACACACACACACACACACACACACACACACACACACACACACACACACACACACACACACACACACACACACACACACACACACACACACACACACACACACACACCACGCCCACCCGCGCGCGCGCACCCATGAGCCGGTGAAGAATGAACTGGATTCCAACACTTGATGCCCTTGACGCCCTTGAATCCTTGAAAATGTGCATTTTGCACCCTAGCCCACCCCACACGAATCATCTTCTTGAGTTCATTGAGTTTTAGACGCGGGAGGTGGGACTTGTTTTGGCAAGTCCACTCAGGAAGCGAGTTGATGAATCCTGGGCCATCGCAGGAGATGCTGGAGATGGCAGACTTAGGCCGCAGGATCACTGACTTGTGCTTCAAGCTCGCTTCTTGGCCTACAGCGTTTGCGTGCAAATGCGCAATGACTACCCGTCGACGAGGTCGAGAGAGACAGGAACTGCGGTTTGTTTTTCTCAGTGCTGGAGAGTTGCAGAAGTCAGGGGCAGGTTGTATTCTTAGGGGGCCTGGCCTTGAAGAGTGGCTACCTTTGTGAGTTTGTCAGAGCTTGGATTTGGGGAGAACAAAATGACAATACATTTGCTGTTCCCCTGGAGACGAGGACAGTCTTTAAGTGAGGGGCCATCAATCGGGGATCGATATCAACCTCTGTAGGTCGGTTTAAAGCTACATTTGTTTAGTTCCCATCTTTTTTCGACAACTAGACCACGCCCCCTCGGTTGTTTTTAAAGCGCTCAAGCTTCTAGACCTTAGTCAATGTTTGGGTGCGGGAGGCCAATAGTCTCACTTCCTGAGTTGCTTGGCTTCAAACTGTTTGGGTTTGGGCCATTTTAGTGGTAACCAAAAAGCTTGGACTTTTTGTGACCAATCCACTCAGGAAGTGAGCAGTGGTAAACAGAAAAGTTTAGACCCTGTTTGTGGCCGATCGATCACTTGCATGATACCCAGGCAAAGGAGGCTGATTTCCACACTCTGTGAAAAGCCTGTTTGGGAGGAAGTCAATCCCCTGTTCGCTTAGGTTGGCTGAGAACGGATTGATTCTGGAGCTGAGTTCTCTAGGGGAAACCAACCGTGAGGCTTGTAAGTTAGTTTGGGTGTGTTTGTGTGTTTTTGAGGGTTCCTTGTGGGTTGTTGTTTAAAAGACAACTGAAGAGAAACATGCTCAGCTGGTTTCCCAGCAGGGGTATGCCCCTACATGGTGGTGTCCGCTTTGGCTCCTTTTAACACAGCCCCAGAACACGCGCCAACTCCAAAGAGAAATGCCTGAATCATCCCTTCAAAAAGTAGGGCGAACCACCAAACTCATTTTTAACAAATTTGAAAGCAAGTTATTTATTTGCCGAGTTGAAAAACTTTACTCTTGTTATTGGTTGGTTTCTGTATTACTTAAATCAAGTCCAAAAAATGTTGCTTTTTCTTGGCCAGTCAACTCTGGTCAACTCTGGAGGTCAGATTCGGAACAGTAGGGAAGCCAACTGAGAGGATCGTTCCTTGATTCCCATTTTTTGGCAACCTGACTGGGCGCTGCGTAGTTTGCCCTTGATGGGTTTTACGCAAACCTAAGGAAGGTTCCTCTGGGGGTGATGTGAACATGGGCAATACGGCTATATGGTATGTGTCAGAATAGGGGACCCAAAAAGTTGGTGGTTGTTCTTTCGGTTTCCTATAAAGCAAGGTGAGCAGGGTTACTAAGAGACAACACACACACACACATGACGAGGTTCCGTCAAAATGACTGGCAATCTACGGTAGGGACATGGACTCAATAAATTGCCCACAAAAAGGCGGCTCAAGAAGTTCCCCTTGTCTGGGGGGGGGGGGGGATTCGCTGTTTTGACCGTGGGTTCCAATTCTGCCCTCGCTTCCTTGACGGCCGGCGGACTTGACCCCCCACCTAAATGATGTCCATCATTGGTCTTAAATTTGGATTCACCCATTCGCCCCAAATTGAATCCACCTGAAAGGGTTCCTTTTCTCTACCACTGGAAATGTCCGACCCTTGGCCCCCCGAGGATCGAGAGATGAGTCGCAAGATCCAGGCAGAGCAATCCCGGTTCGAGGTGGATGAGGCCTATGGCAAGCGTCGGACCTCGTCCTTGGGATAAGCCCCACCCCGCCCCCCCTCCCCCCACATTTCTGAAAGGGCTGGCGCTGTGTACTTCCAATGAGGACCCTTACCCTTGCAACCATGATGTACGAGTGCTTCTGGTACATCGGTCCCCTTGAGGGGGCGCCCATGTTTTTTCCAGAAGGTGCAAATCTGACTCGGAGCTTTTGAATCGAAGCAGACCTGAACAAGATTTCCTGAGGAATGTGGAGGAAACCCATGCTGGCTTCCTCAATTTAATTCCTGAGTTGAACAATTGGATTCCCACGGTAGTGGCCACAAAGTTTGGACTTCCTTTGGGTAAGCCACTCAGGCAGTTTGGGGGGGTTGGGGGCCATGGGCTTCCTGAGCGTGCCCTACTATCAGCCGCTAACAGCCAAATGAATGCCTTTGCAATAATCAGGTAACTGCTGAGCTGGGTTGTTCAAATCTGGCCCTGATGGCAGATGGATCAAGGTGGCTTCCCTTGCTTTCTGGTAGTGTCCCACTGATCGTGGATCGGAAATCGGGATCCCGCATTTTGAACAACTCGAGTCAGCGCGGCCGGTGTTCGCATGCTGTATCACAGCACTTCAGCGAGAAAGCTTCAGCTTGAAAAGGCCGCGCGAGGGAAGAGTCGGGGAGTCGGGGACTTGGATATCCGCCCATATGCCAGGCCCTCCTTATGATTCACACTGTTTTGCGTTGATGCTACCGAGCTCCTGTGATGGAGGTCGCTTACTCGCTAAAGTGATGCCTGGAAGAAGTTGCTCCAATGGGCAGAAGTGTAACAATGTATGGAGGGGGATAGCCTCCTGCTATTTTCGGGGATACAGGCTGGACGTGATGTGACGTTCAATTTCAATCATGTTGATCCTGAGAACCCTAAGGAGCTATGCTCAGAACCAGTCGCGCTTTCCGAGCGGGGGGCTTTGGCGTTTGCCCGAGAGACAAGGTTGAGGAGGTAGAGGAAATCCCAGTCGCGATAGCTCCGAGTTGTACAACGGCATGTGTTTGCGGCAAACTCACCTTCGGATCACGGGGGCTCGTCCCTTGCTTATGGATATCTTAGTTAAGCGTTTAGAGAGAGAGAGAGAAAACAAAGAAACAGACAGAAAGAAAGAAAGAAACAAAGAAACAAAGAAAGAAAGAAACAACAAAAGGCAAGAATAAAGGCACAACAAAGAAAGAAAGAAAGAAAAAGAAAAGAAAGAAAGCAAGCAGCCAGGAAAGGAAAGGAAAGGAAAGGAAAGAAAAAGAAAGGTAGGAAGAAAGGAAGGAAGGCAGGAAGGAAAAAAGGAATCAAAGAAAGAAAGAAAGAAAACAACATGAAACAAGTAAAAATCAACACCACAATGAGCGCGGACTCACATAGAAGCCAGCTACAGGAATGTCCGCACAACATGGGCCAAACACCAACCAACATCAGTTTACATAGAAATTGCCAAACACCCACCCAAACGCCAGGAGTTGTCCAGGAAAATTCCCTGTGGCTGGTTTTTGGAATCAACGGCGCTTCGCCTCTTTTGGCTCAAAAGATCAGCTTTGATGATGGACCGGCTGCTTGAGCTGCAAGACTCACTTAGACTGGGTCCGTTGAGAGGAGATGTTGGATCCCGTTGGTTGGGAAAGGGACACCTATATTTTCATCACATAGAACCCCGACAAAAGGGTGCCCCAAAAGGAGATTCCTCCAAAACTTAACAGCTGTTTCCGGTTCTTGAAATCTACAAGCCCCAAAAGGCCTACCCCAGTCGCCTCAAGTAAAGTGACATCGTCAACACTATCGCCTACATGATGGTTGAAACGGGCTCACCCCGAAAGAATAATGTTGTAATGTTGAGGATCCGCACAACCCAAACCTATTTTGAGGGCTTCACCGAAAAGGCAGCAGTCTCAAAGGGCGTTGTGTGCTGAACCATGCTCGTGGGGAGGGCAAGGAGGAAATTTAGAAAGCAATTTACATGTTCTTGTAGGAACCATAGCGGTGGCCAGGAAAGTTGACATGGTAAAAGGGCCCCGAGGCGGCTCCTTCAAGACATCCCTTTCCATCTCTTCCGAAGCCATTAAGTGTGGCTTAATTATTGGCATCCAGTCCCCAAACAAATCCAACACTGAAAGGCGGCGCGCTCAACTTTTTGCACGCTGAGGCTTGGATACTCTGGTGGATCCACAAGCCTTGGTGACTTCAAGCAGCCCCTTGGCATGAATTGATGGTTTGTCGGGATTTCACTCAGTTGTGCCAAATGCCAACTGATCAATTTTTCATGAATACCAAACTAAAAGCAAAGAACAAGTTGAGTTTCTATGTTCAGGGGTCTTGGCTTCTGCATTTTCCCGAACCGTGAGGATGGATGGTCACGGTTGTCCCAGATAGAAGTGCCAATCCGCAGGTTGTGCGTGTTCTGCCAGGTTCCGGCGTTTAACCAATTCGAGTTGTGTCAAACGTTGGACAGGTGGCGTCAATCTCCATTTAGTTCTGATGTTCCACCAAATGGCCCCAATGGCCCCAATGATTAAGACTCACTCGCCATTGCTTCCCCAAAGGGAGTTACCGGGTGAACCTTGCGATCTCTCAGGCTTTCGCTCCTCGGGGAGGGCGCGTACTCGGCCGTCTACAAGGCGCGTACATTTCCTGGGGGTGGGTGACCTGCGCCGAGGATGGCCGCCTGCTGAAGCGCAAAGCAAGAAATGCGTGGTTTGCGTGGTTTGCGTGGTTTGCGTGGTTTGCGTGGTTTGCGTGTAGTTTTTGTGCCCATGTCCCTCCCAAGAATGCCATAGACTACCAGTCATGTTGGTCACGTGTTCGTGTGCGTGTGTGTCTGTGTGTGTGTGTGAGTGTGTGTGTGTGTGTCTGTGTGTGTGTGTCTGTGTGTGTGTGTCTGTGTGTGTGTGTGTGTCTGTGTGTGTGTCTCTGTGTGTGTGTGTGTGTCTCTGTGTGTGTTTGTCTGTGTGTGTGTGTGTCTGTGTGTGTGTCTGTGTGTGTGTGTCTGTCTGTGTGTGTGTGTCTGTCTGTGTGTGTCTGTGTGTGTGTCTGTGGGTGTGTGCCTGTGTGTGTGTGTGTCTGTGTGTGTGTGTCTGTGTGTGTGTGTGTGTGTGTCTGTGTGTGTGTGTGTGTGTCTGTGTGTGTGTGTGTGTCTGTGTGTGTGTCTGTGTGTGTGTGTGTCTGTGTGTGTGTGTGTGTCTGTGTGTGTGTGTGTCTGTGTGTGTGTGTGTCTGTGTGTCTGTGTGTGTGTCTGTGTGTGTGTCTGTGTGTGTGTCTGTGTGTCTGTGTGTCTGTGTCACGTCTGTGTGTCTGTGTCACGTCTGTGTGTCTGTGTCACATCTGTGTGTCTGCGTCACGGCTGTGTGTCTGCGTCACGTCTGTGTGTGTGTGTGTCTGTGTCACATCTGTGTGTCTGCGTCACGTCTGTGTGTCTGCATCACGTCTGTGTGTCTGTGTCACGTCTGTGTGTCTGTGTCACGTCTGTGTGTCTGTGTCACGTCTGCGTGTCTGTATCACGTCTGTGTGTTTGTGTCACGTCTGTGTGTCTGTGTCACGTCTGTGTGTCTCTGTGTCTCTGTGTCTCTGTGTCTTTGTGTTTTTGTGTCTCTGTGTCTCTGTGTCTCTGTGTCTTTGTGTCTCTGTCTCTGTGTCTTTGTGTCTTTGTGTCTCTGTGTCTCTGTGTCTCTGTGTCTCTGTGTCTCTGTGTCTCTGTGTCTCTGTGTCTCTGTGTCTCTGTGTGTCTGTGTCTCTGTGTCTCTGTGTCTCTGTGTCTCTGTGTCTGTGTGTTTGTGTGTCTGTGTGTCTGAGTGTCTGTGTGTCTGTGTGTGTGTGCATTTGTGGTTTCAGGGTACCCTGCTTGAACGCACCCATTTTGGGGGTTCCCCCAGAGGCACAACCATAAATGGGCGTGCCAACTATTAACTTGCTTAATCTGGGGTTTGGACCTGTTCGGTGAAATTAGGCTAAAATAAGCGTTTTTGTCGTCCACTTCGAGCCTTGTTCCATGTTGCTCGGGCTTTGGGGTATGGAAAAAACACTTTTTGAGCCGTTTGGCTCCGTTGGAGAATCAGGTCGGACCAGGTCAGTCATGCTGTGTGCCGTATGCGGGCATTCACTTGCTCATGTTGGCGCGCTTGGTGTTTGAGAGAAGTGTTTTTGACATGTTTTCAGCCCAAAAATTCAATGAGTGTTTTTGGTTTCGGGGGCAAAGTCAAAACAACTTATCGGCTATCAGGCCGCAAAAAAACACTCATTTTGCTTTGATGGAGGCCCGCCACATGGATTTGGGCCGTGGATTGCTAAAGATACGCTCCTAAATTGCAGAGTTGATACGCTTGATAGAAAACGATTTGAAAAAACTGTGCATTACAGCATGGACATGTGCCATGTATTTTGAGGAGTATGCAAGAAACACTTCTTCCGAAACTAAACGCGGAGTGAACATTTCGTGGACACAGTGTTGCCGCCGCCAGGCTACGTCAGTAAATAAAGTGCGAGCGGCCTTGTGCAGACTGCAAAAACTCCAAGAAGTGTGCATAGGCTGTAGGCACAAGTTCAGAAACACTTCGCAAACAAGAAACAAGCACCGTACCAAAAGGACTTTTTCACACGACTAGCCCCATTCAAAGGCACTGTTGAGCCCACGCGGCACACCACCCCGTTTCAACATGTTTCAAATGACTCTGGTCGAGCGCAACTTTCAAACGAACTCAATCAGCAGCCTGCTGGACCTGCAATCATCATGCAAGTGCCCGTATAAAAGTTTTACGGGGAATCGTCTCATGAACGTAAGCATGTAACACATTATGCTTGAGCGATATGTGCAAAAAGGAGGGGAGGCATCTGCGGGCAATGCGGGGCAAACTGGAGATCCTGAGAATCACAAATGTGACAAGCGACCACTGTGCAAATATGCTATACATATATACGGCTTGGCAAGTTTGCTAAAGTGCACACAGGGGTGTGGATAGCTCCTCTTTTGCAGCTTTGTAGACGTGATTCCAGATTTCAGGATCCGGAATTTACGGGCGGATTCTTTCAACAATTGCAGGGCCACTGGTGAAGATTCAATGAGATTTGGGGCAAGCCAAAGTAAAAAGTTTGGGCCCAATTC